GATTTCAAGGCAAAAATAGGAAAAGAAAACGATTACCTACCCACCATTGTAAGATATAGTCTCCATAATGAGTCAAACAACAATGTAACACGCTTTAATACACCTTGCGGTCTCAATGAATATGGTAACAGCTAGCACATGCTTTAAGCGTAAAAATATACACAAAGGCACTTGGGTTAGCCCAGACGGTAACACAATCAATCAAATTTACCATGTAGTTGTGGACGCAAGACAGCGATGTTATGAATGTACGTACCAGACGTGGAGCAAACATTGACTCCGATCACTACCTGGTCCAGGCTAAACTAAGGGCACTAATCTCCAACGCAAAAAAAGTAAAGAAAGCAAAGAAGATAAATTCGAAGTGAACAGACTACGAAACCCTGAGATAGTTAGAAAATTTGAACACAAACTTAAAGAAAAATTATAAAACCAAATGAGTAGTACTGTTAAAAACACAGATAATTACTGGAATGAGTGCGAAAATATCCTGAAAGAAGTAGCAACAACAGTTGTAGGAGAGAAGAAACAAGAAAGGAAGGGGTCAGAATGGTATGATGCGGAATGCGCACAGTCAACTCAAAAAAAGAATTAGGCGTATGGGAAACTCCAAAACAGAAGGACAAGGCAAAATCAAGGGGAGTACAAACAAATGAGACAAGCAGAGAAAAGTATACTAAAACAAAAGAAAAAACGCCGTTTAGAAAACCAGCTACAGGAACTAAAAAGGCTCAATTCACAAAGCGAAGCGCGAAAATTTTATACAAATGTAAACCACAAGAGAAAAAACCTAGAATAACCGTAATAAAAATTTAGGAAGCCTAAATTATCAATGAGTCGAATCAAATAGTGAAGAGATGGGAGGAGAGTTTTACTGAGAAATTAAATATAGGCAACCAAGAAGTAACTACATAAACGACCACAGTGGAGACGTAGACGTTGAGAGTGAGAAAAATAATATACCAACAGAAGAAGAAGGCGGTAAAAAGGTTAAAAAACAATAAATCCCCTGGAGAAGTATGGAGTAAACGCCCTAAAAAAATACATAATAAAACTTATTGCAATCCATTTGGAGAGAAGGAAAACTCCCAGACAGTTGGAATGTAGGTATTATAATAACTATTCACAAGACACGGGATCCATTGATATGTGACAACTATCTAAGCATTACCCTCCTGAATACGGCTTACAAAGTACTGGCTTATATACTTTATGATCGTTTACGAGTATATACTGAGGAAAAAATAGGCAAACCAATGTGTATTCCAAAAAGAAAGATCAACAATTGATCAGATTTTCCTTTTTAGACAAACCTTAGAAGAGACATATGCATATGGAATTGATACCCACAACCTCTTCATAGACTTTAAAAGCGCTTATGACAATGTAGACAGAAGCGCACTTTATAATGCCATGACAGAGCTAGATATTGCTTCGCATCGAATAACATTGAAAAGGCAACGGTTTCGAAAGTTGAGTGCAAAGTCAATGTACAAAACAGAGTATCAAGGTCTTTTCAAACACATACTGGATTACGCCAGGGAGGCAGTCTATCGTACCTATTGTTTAACATCGCGCTAAAAAGAGCCATAGATAAATCGGGCATAACAACCAGAGGTACGATCATCAACAGAAGTGTACAGTTTCGGAGTTTATATATCTTGGAATACAACTAAATAACAGCAATCTAATGAGCGCAGAAATTAAGAGAAGAGTATACCTGGCGAACAGAGCTTACTTTGGACTAAAGCAGTTCTTAACATCACACATTATTAGCAGAAAAACCAAGATACTAAGATATGAAACTCTTATTAAACCTGTCCTGACATGCGCGTCAGAGACGACAAGGACTATGGTAAAAAGCGACGAAGAACTGTTAGGCCGCTTTGAAAGAAGAATACTTAGACGGAGAATATGGTATATGGCAACATATAACACCAGAACTTTGATGGAGAAATTTGTGGAACTTGAAAACAAGCTTAAGCGTATAAAATAAGAGATGCTTGGATTATCCGAAGAAGGGGTAAATAGTGCAAAGCAAGTAGGACTTTCGTCGGGAAACCTATTGTATTATAAAGTAAAGTCTTATAATGGTGGCGTCGGATTTATGGCAAATAAAAAACACATAGAGAATATACTCACTATTAAAAGCATAAATGATAGAGTCATATATCTTATCTACGAAATAAACGAAAACATTCGATTAAAGATCATCCATGTATACGCACCTAGCAGTGCCCACACAGATGAAGAAGTTGAATTATGCTATGATGACGTATGACTATACTAATGGGAGACCTAAACGCCAAAACGTCACAAGCAGGATGATTCAGAGTTTGTATTTGGACCTCATGGATATGGTAACAGAAATGAAAGGGATTAAACTATTATAGAATTTCTTCTGCAACATTGGTTATATGTCATGTACATTCATTATAAAAAGCCCGCAAAGGAGGTAGACTTGGCAATCACCAAATGGCTTAAACAAGAACGAAATTAACTTTATATTTACCAACAAAAAAGACGATGTTCAAGACGTAACTGTATTACATCAATTTTCAACAGGAAGTGACCGTAGAATGATTAGGGCGATGATTAAAAAAAGAAAGAAGAAATATGATAACAAGGACTTAAAATCTTACATACACTGCGATTACTACCACAACGGTTATATGTCTGCAAAATGAAAACAATATTAAACAGCTTATCGAAATGATGATGGATACACTAAAGAATGCACAGAAGTACCAAGCCAAACAAATAAGGAAAAATAAAAACTCAAGAAACCTAATGCAAAAAACAATTAACATTGCTGAGCTAAGAAATTTAAATAAAACCATTTTAAAAGCCATTTAGAAAGTCATAAGAAATTTTAATACTAACGAAACAACTAATAAAATTGACCAAAGCAAAAGCCTAAAAGTTCTAAAACGAAACTTGGAGACAGAAACCAGAAATATTTAAAAGTTAAAAAATAAATAAGGACATGCCATATATGAACAACAAGAGATTCCCAAAATCATCAAAGAGTACTACAGTACATTATATGGTCAATATGATCACATTCCAGAGGGAGAAAACGCAGAAATACAAAATCAAGGGTGAAAGAAACTTCCAGATATAACCGAAGAGGAAATTAAATCAGCGTTAAGAGGTTAGAAGAACAACAAAATACCTAGCCATTGTAAGTGAAGTGATAAAACTAGGTGGCGAATAAGTCATAAAAGCTTTAAAAACTCTTTATAATGCCTGTTTCTTTGAAGGAATTACACCAGAAAAATAGAATGGTGTAATTAGAATAATGTTGTCTAAACTAAAACAGTAGATATAACAGAAATTGGAAACTACAGACCTATCAGCTTATCTCATTTATATAAGTTCTTCATGAGAATATTTATCAACAGACTGGGACCTAAGCTAGATTTTCACCAACAAGTAAAGCAAGCCAGATTTGTAGTGGCTGTGGAACGAATGACCATCTAGAAGTAATAAAATCCTTGAAAGAGAAAGTTATAGAATACAACAAGCAATTGATGTTAATATTTATAGACTTTGAGTAATCATTTGACTCACTCTAGCATAGCTCCGTATTTAAAGCTCTTACGGAGTACAGTATCATACATAGGTACACAACTCTTCTTTAAAATATATATATATATATATATATATATATATATATATATATATATATATATATATATATATATATATATATATATATATATATATATATATATATATAATAGCGCAATAGCTGCAGTGAGAATGTACGATAATGACATAAACACTCTCCGAAACTTTGGGAAAAAAGGAAAGCCTAAAGAATTGGGAAAAAATTGTAGTCGATATAAATGGTGAGTTTCTGAACAACTTGAGGTTTTCAGATGACATATTTCTTATTGCAGATCGAGTAAATTATGCCTGCCAACTTATTCTTTAGAGCTCTTGTACATAAGTTGGCCTTAAAATTAACTTTTCCAAAGCACAATATGTGACCAACCATATATTGGCCAAAAACATTTCAACGAACAAGTTTGTACCTATAAGTATCTGGGCCATGAGATTAAATTAGGAGATGAGATGAGATGAGATTAGGAAGAGACAATCAAACAACAAGTTAAACAGGAGAATAGGACTAACATGGGCAGCTTACGGAAAACTGAGGGAAGTTTTTAGATCAGATATTCCTATGTTCTTGAAATGGAATATCTTTGATAAATGTATACCCACTTCTAACGTATGGAAAAGAAACATTGAATCTTACCAGAAAAGTAAGCACAGAGGTCTCTGTGCAAAAAATGTTGAATATATCCCTCAGAGACAGAGAATTAAATTAAATAACTAGAAGAAAAACTGTTGTTAGGGACTCCATTAAAATAATTACAACGCTGAGATTGAACTGGGCGGGATATATTGCCAGAGTCAGAGACCAACGATGGACCAAGAACACTTTAAAATGGAGACCTTGACACGATTCGCAATAAAGTGGTCAGACGATATCAAACGCATCTAGCACAATTCATTCAAGGTGCTCAAGATCGATGCAATGGAATTACTTACGGGAGGCCTATGTTTAGTAGAGGACTCAAAACGGCTAATGATGACGAAAGATTAAGAACATAAGCCAAAAAATAGTTGGCAAATACCAAGATATACCATACCATACCATTTAACATCACACTTGAGAAAATAATAAAGAATTTGGCAATCAATACTAGAACTTGTTGAGGTTTTTAAACTAATACTAACTACATACAAGTAAAACAACATGTAAGAGTACAGTATTAAAAGTAAAAAAAAAACTTTATACAAATATATTTAGGGGCATATAGAACGATTTGTTGAAGGTATTACTAAGAAAGTTTGCAATTTTAAAAATAAAAAATTGGAAATAAAAGGAAATAGATCCATCCTGTATGTATAATGTGTATGAATACTTATCAAAATTTAAACAAACAATCCATTTTAATATATAGAGCATTTTCCCGTTGATTTTACAAAAAAATTAATATGATATTTTGTCTATACGACAAAAAGAACAGAAGAAACGCGGGGATCGTATTTTCAAATGGCAATGGCAAAAAGAGAAGAGTGTCAAGGGGCGCTTATTGAAGAAGGAGACAGTCCGAAACTAAGAACGTACAAAAGACGCTGGTTTATTTTGTCGATGTACATGATCTACAACGCCCTTGGGTCGTTTCAGTGGATTTGTTATTCTAGCATTACCAATCTAGTGGTGGAGTACTATGGTGTTAACAGCATGGTGGTGGATTGGACGTCTATAGCGTACAACGCTATTTATCCGTTACTAGTGGTGCCGGCTTCCTATATTATCGACAAACAGGTAGGTTTTTATACATATATACAATCAATTTAGAACGTTTTTTACATTATCCAATTTCCAATTTCCATTTATATCAGTTGTTCCATAACCTGTCTCTACGTTCTTTGAAGTTGATTGATTTTTTTTTTTACTTCTTTCATCCATATTTTCTTTAGTCCTTTTCTCTTCTGTCTTCCTGTAGGTATCCACGATTTTTATTTTGGAAGTCTATTTCGTTTGCTGGATATTTACGAACCATATGAACTGCTTTCGTTTTATTTCATCCAATATTGTAACTTCTATTTCCATGTATTCCCTAATTTTTTCATTTCTTAATCTCTCCCTTTTCGAAAGGATCATTTTACAGCTTAAATTTGATATAAATGTCTTTCTCGGCCCTTTTATAGCAGGCAACCTAACTGAAGTAACTTGCTTTAATAAATGATCGTTAATTTGGTCTATATTTTCATATTGAAATTTTTACACACAAAATTTAGGTTGTAATATGGCTCCTTTTAGTTGTTCTTTAGAATTTTAAATATGATCAAAAAAAGTTACCAGCTGAAGCCCGTTTGAAGAGGTTTACTCTCCGGCCACTGGAACTCACCTAAGACATGGGTGTATGTTACCTAAAGTCAAATTTTAATTTGATATTAAACATCAAATGTGATTAACAAAATTATGTACAATTTTTTGTAACCATATGTACTTTAAAGTGTTTTTACCCTGATATTTTGGTAGCTCAGGCATGTTAATTTGCATTTTAATCCTGATGATGGAATTATTACTCCGAAAACATTCGTGCAAACATCAAAACTAAACTTTATCAACCAAAACATAAACAAATAATAATTGTAGTGAATTAACAGGTATGCGGTCTGTTGTATAAAAGATGAAAGGCTAAAAGCTTTTAAAGCCTCATATGTCTTGTCCCAGACAGCTAATCGAAAAAACTCGTGAATCCAATACTCCTATGCTTATGTGCTTTGTGGATTACACAAAGGCTTTCGATAAAGTCAAATGACAGCAGCTACGGTGCATAGTAACGAAAATGGGAACACCCTACCACTTAATTCAACTAGTTAGAAGTCTATATACAAATAAATCTCGCCAACTATTTTTAATATCTACACCGAACACATTATGCGAAAGGTACTAGACGGATGGAAGAGTGGAATATTACTAGAGGTCAGAAAATCAATAACTTGAGATATGCTGATGACAGTTTAATAATTGCGGCAAATCAAGAAGAAATGGAAGACATAATGAGATGTCTGAAAGAGAAAGGAGAAAAGCAAAACATACGGACTAAAGCCAAATATGAGTAAGACAAAGATAATGATAGTACACAGAGCTCGGAATAATCTTCAACACATTAAAGAAATTGGGGGCTTTGCAGTAGTAAATAATTTCATTTATCTGGGGTCCCTAATATCAAATAACAGAGGGTGTGGCAGAGAGATGCGTAAAAGGTTGACTAATTGCTAGAACAACTATGATGCAAATGGTAACAATTTGGAAAAATTGGCAAACAGCAACATAGAGATTAGGTACTGAAGAAATAGGAATTCCTTCGATAGTCTTTTAAATGATGTTCACATTTTTCCTAAATAGTACCAGAAAAAATGTATATATGTTTTTTCATTTATTATTTTATTTAAATATTCAATGTTTAGTTTAGTAGTTTTTATTATTTTTCTAGGGGCTTAGAGCAGCTGGCGTTCTAGGATGCTGCCTGACCTTTTTGGGAACTAGCCTAAAACTGTTTTCTTTCCATCGTGATAGATTTTACGTAATAGTAATCGGACAAATCATTCTCGCCATCTCGAATGTTCTTGTTGCCTGTCTCCCTTCAAAGTTAGCTGCTGTTTGGTTCAGCACTAGAGAAGTAAGTACTCATACTCATAAGAAAGTTTATTATTAGTAATCATAGAACATAAGTTATTGAAGCTATGTATCAAAACATACTCATGTAAATGGTCTATTAGTTGCAAAATACAAAATATATTTACTATCATTATTGTTGTCTCGTCTTTATTAATTATAGACAAATTTCTTGCTTATGAATTATTTGGAAAATATCCAGCATTTCTTGTTCTCTTGCTTCCATTAATACAGTGTCACCTACCAATCTTAATAGATTTTCCTTATAGTCACCCTTACTCCATCAACTTACTCGTATTCTTATTCTCTAAAGACTTTTTCATAACAAATTCATTACATAGATTAAATAAAGTTTTAGAGTAGGTAGTACTGCAGACTAGAGCCAAGCTTCGTATTATGCTTTCTGTATTTTTCAAATTTAAACAATATTTTTAAAATTAAATAAAATATTATCATTATTTATCTATTATTAATATTTTGTAATTAATTCTGTGCCACTTTTAACTGGCCAATCTGCCCAAAACCACATTATATAAAATACAGTTCTGCCGGGTACTTGCAGTCTTTTAAACAATGTACCTATGTTTATGGGATACATCTTCTTAGATTTAACCATGGTCTAATTTGTATTCGTCTTTTTGCCTTACAGCACATAAAGTGTTCTTTAATTAATTCAACATTTTGCAAATATTAGATTAATTCCACTTCGTTTATGTAATATTTGTTATATCAAAAAATTATAAAACATTCCAAAACTCAAAATAACAAATTATGGTCAGTTTTGAGAATTTGGATACCTAATGGCCACCCCCTCGTTGGGTATATAAAATTATAAAAATGGAAATAAATATCTTTTGATAGTAAATTTAATTAATATATAAACTACATAAGATATATTAAAAAGAGTGGAACAGTAAGCAGTGCTGTAGAGCGGAGCTTTATACTTTGTTTTCTGTATTTTCTAAATTGAAATAATATATTTAAAATTAAATAAAGACATATTATTTTATATTTATTTTTTATATTTTAAACAAATTCAATAAATTATTATATTTGATCCTAACGCCACCTGTTACTGTATTAACAAAGCATACACTGCGTTGTTTATTTATGACAAATCAGTCAAATTCAGGCTAAATATTAATAATAAAAGATAAATAAATATCATTTGATAGCAAATTTAATTATTATATAAACTAAATAATATGTTTAAAAATAATAATTGTATTAAATGAAATTATGTATTTTAAAAGGAGAATTATTATAAAAATTTGGATTGATGATTCAATGATGGTATTAATCGGATATCACTTAAATTTTAACAATCGTTTCGAATCGAATCCTTTAGTGAACAGATATTCTTTTAATTTTTTTCCTTTAAGTTAACGTCTATATTTTGTAAGTTATTTATCATGTAATTTTGATGGCTAGAAATGAATTGATCGAGAGTAATGAATCGTTGTCAAGAACCGCTATTCTATGACGCCATCCGTGACACCTTCTGCTTGTGGCGCTCAGCATTTTACTATTGAGAAAAAAAAGTTTCCTTGTTTGTCCAATATAATATGTTTCCTTGTTTGTCCAATAGCATGATTGAGGTTTTTTTTGTTTTGCTACCCCAACTAATTCTTTAACTTTCTTATGAAGATTGAAGTTATCATATTTGTTTTGTAAGTCTTCTATTTCTTGGCATTTCCAGCGAAATAAGTCTCTTTAGCTTCTCTTATTTTCCTTCTTATTTGATTATGCAGCTGGTGATACTGAGTTATGTTGATACTCTTTTGCCTTCTTCTGTCCTCCATCATTTCCAATATTTCTTCTGTCATCCAATCTCCTTTCTTGCATCTAGTTGTTGTGAGTTCTCGGCAACTTAGTTCGATAATTGCATTTTTAAAGAATTACCACTGTTGTTCTACATCACCATAAATTGATTTCGGTGTGGATCCTAGGTTTGCATTAATTTTTTGTTTCAGTTTTTCTTTGACGTCTTCTGATTTTAATTTTTGTATGTTTAGTTTATCACGTTTATTTTGTAGCGTTTTTGTATCTTTTTTAAATGAAGTTGGAATTCTGCTTCAAGAAAATTGTGATCCGACGCCACGTCTGCACCTGGGTCCGCTTTCACCGATTGTATTGCGTTTCGGTATCTGTGGTTTATTAAAATATAGTCAATTTGGTTTCTAACGATTTTGTCGACCTTGTCAGCTGGCGATTTCCAAGTGTAAAGGCGTCGTTTAGGCAGTTTGAAGAAAGTATTCATTACCGCAAGATTATGTTCTAGGCAGAATGCTATAAAGCGTTCTCCTCTTTCATTTCGAACACCGAGTCCATATGGTCCTACAGTAGACTCACATCTTCCTTCTCCAACTTTGGCGTTAAAATCACCCATGACTACTGGTATATCTCTGGATGTTGTATTTTGTAGGGTTTTTTGAAGGCCATCGTAAAATTTTTCAATTTCTTCCTCTGTTTTATCGGCGGTTGGGGCATAAATCTGAATGAGGTTTAATTTGCCATGTGTTTCCCATCAATTTATTACATTATATTTATTTCACTCTCTTTGGTGGTATTGGTGTATGTCCTCTGCTATACCAATTATGTCGCATTTTAAGTCCTTGATGTCTTTTTCGAATTCCTAGACTTTTTCATCTTTGATTAAGGAACTTATATTTAGAGATGCGATGTTCAATCGTGTGGTTTTTAGCGATTTCTTGCTTCCCCAGATTCCATGAAGCTGTCCTTTTTTCCAAAACGCAAAACGCTTCCCTCTGCGTTTAAATTTGTAACTGTAACTGTAAGTGCCCCTACTTATAAAAATAGTACAAAGATTTTTTATAACTACTTAACGACCTACTTGTATTATTAATTGGTAAATCTGCTCATATATTTCTTTACTACTTTCTTATTTTGATCGGTGCTTTTATGCAATACTTTTTAATTAGAACACTATGGAAAGACGGGTACTATTTTTAAATCGATTCATTTATCGACTAATTTCCATTTTCTCTGTTTTAGGCCTAAATATATTTATATAAACAATAATAATATTTTCCTAACTTACTGAATTTTCAGGTAACAATAGCATGCTCTCTCGGAGTATTTGGATCCCAAATTGGGGTAGCTTTGGGATACATTTTTCCTTCGGTGATAGTAAATAACCATGACAGTCCTGAAACGATAGGTGAAGGATTAAGAAACTTAAGTTGGTTGCTAGTTTTAATAGCAACACCAGTGACCACTGCCGTTCTATGTTGTAAGTACCTCCTTACTATTAGAATGCATATGTCTAATACTCTGTAAACAAATTTAACTGTAACTAAAAAAAAGAGATAACTACTTATCAATGAAATCGTTGGCTTCTAGATTCCAAGTTATAGATCACAGAAATTAGCAAAAAAATCCTTTTTCGAGACACTCTTTGATGCAGGTATCTACTAACTGCGTTTGAAAAACTTGGTGATAAAAATATATAATAAACAAATTATACAAAAGATTACACATCATTTTTTACTTATAAACAAAATATAAAAAATGTAAGATCGCTTTATATTGAAACGTTACATAATTTTACTGAAAAACCAAAAAAAATCCGTTAAAATGAGAGTTTGCAAAGTTATTCTTGTTTACAGTTTGCTTTATTGTAAAAATAGCTTCAAAGGTGGATTTTTTGAAAATTATTAATACTTGTTTAAAAATGCACTAAGAACTTTAACTTCGCGTGATAATAGGGGCAATAAAATTTTGCAAAAGTACTGTGATTTTAAGTTTATATAACATTTAAAATAATTCAGACGCATCAACGTGTAAGAATTTTTATTTTTATATAAAAAAGATAATTTTTTTTCTCTTTCAACACGAAACCACATCAACCACGCAGGTATTAGTGGATTTAACAAACACAAGAACTATTACATTAAATGAAATTCAATAACTGAATATCTGTTCAATAGGTTAACACTGTTGAGATTTCTATTGGTAAGAACTGTTTTGAGATTATCATCTGTGATTCCGTGGGATCTTCTTTCTTCCATATATTCCGGACAATCAAGCAGGACGTTTCACGGTATTTCAGATTGGTAGTGGTTCTTTGGTTATTAAGTATTTGTGTGTTAAGGCAGGATGGGCAATTCTTAGACGGTTAATAATATCTTAGTTTGTTCTATTTGAAATATTTTCCAGGAGAACATTTATTTTTGGGCAAGTTACATTTAATTTTGTACCTAATTTTTCCCAATGATTTTGCTATGTATTAGTACACTGGAATTTAACCAGGTTTTTTAGATCGGTGCGGTGTACGGATATGTTTTCGACTTTGCAGTATGGTTGGAGCTCATTCGACTTTTGTTTACCAGTAGCTACCTGTATGTGAAATAAAAGCCACTTCCTTTTCTAATGATCGGAATGTTTCTAGTTCGTTTCTATAGTCTGTAAAATAGGGTCTTTGGTATATATTTGTTTCAATTCCAGTAATTCATTTAATGAGTTTGTTACGATAAAGTACTTCATCGTTCTAATCTTTTTAAAGAAGATTAGGAATTTCAAAATAGTTGTGGTCTCCTCTGCGAGTATACTACAGTTTGTTGATATCGATATAAATTGTCTTTACAACAGTAGGCAGCAGCGTGACTATTGGGAGTTTTAGAGGCATTAATAAAGATTTGCAAATAGTTAGGATAGTGTCTAGAATTTCCATCAATAGATGTTTAATTATTATGGAACTTTTAGTTGATTTAAGATACTTTGTAAGTGTAGAGTAAATAGTTATTAAGTAGCTTGTTCATGGGAGATAGTTTGTATTTATATTTAGCGATTCATTGAGTAGATTTATATCAAAAGTTGTGAGCTTCATTCTTTCTATGAGGGAAGTAGAATTTTTCGTCTGTTTATTATAGAAGGAAGAACAGGGTCGCAGGTGTAAAAAAATTAAGGATGTTGTTTCTGGAATGATATCTATGCAATATAGTTCAAGGATAGTTGCTGTCATCTGATATCTTTAAGTTTCAACTGGAGGTTCTCCAGTTTAAACTTGCATACTACTGATCGGACTAGCTTAAAAAGCACTTAGTGCTAAGCACAAAGCTGTAAATTGAGTACTTTTTGGTTTAAGACAGTTTTTATTTACTTGTTTATTTTGAGTATAAGAAACGAAGTCACAAAAGGTTCTTACCTAGGTGAATCGATATGTCCTAGAATGCAAGTTTAGATACCCCATGTCGATCTAATTATCCGTCTGTGCATTAAAAATTGTAGAATTAGATTTAGGTATGAACCTGAATTTGGTTTCGATTACTTAGAAATCTTCCCTTTTTTAAGTTTTTGTTTTTATTTATTTTTTTTATTCAAAATGTTGGCATTTTTACAAGAATTAAAAAAAATACAATGTGCCACGACCCTTAAAACGCGTTAGTCCTTTTTTTTTAATTCATGATAGGCTCTCTTCATAAAGATTAATAAATTTATAAAGCTTTATTTTAAAGATTAAAGGTTCAAGTTTTGACAAAAAAGACTTTTCCCATGGTTTAAACCCCAAGACAAAGGGTTTAAAAGCGAAGCGATTTGCATTCTCTTGATTTTACTATTTCAAAAACTGAATTTATAACTCCAAATTTATAAAAGTCGCAATATCTCCGGTTCTAATCAACGAAAATTGATGTTTTGAAGTTGCATACATTCCTAAAATGCAAGTATATAATTTATGCATTGTTGATTTAACCCAGCAATTTTTTAAACAATTAAAATAAATAATTTTGCAAAATTTTATTTTTTTTAGTTGTATATACTTATATTAGTATAAGAGGTTGTTAATTGGTGGTAACTTATTTATTTATGTATTCTAGTTGGAAACAGTGTCTTTTAACAATAAATTTTTCAAAAAAATTACCTTTTTATTTAAAAATCAAATCTACACGTGTTAGTTTTTCTTGACTTAACAATATTACGAATATATTTTAAACAAATGAATTGTTATAAACCTTGTATAAGTATAAATAAAAATAGTAAAATTAAGTTTTGTGTATTATTATACAAAGTTTATACCAATTAAGTTAAATAAGAAAAGTAATTGTAAAAATAATAAGAAAAATTCAAGAAAAACTAATACGTACAGATTTGATCTCCAAATAAACAATTAATTTTTTATAAAATTTATTGTTAAAAGATATTATTGATAACGATAATACATAATTATTTAAGTTACCTATTATTTCATAGTTTTTTCTACTAATAATAATAAAAGAAAAGTACAATTTTGCGCAATCAATATTTATTTTAAATTAGTTAAACAAATTACTCGCTTAAATAAACAATCCATAAATTAACAAATTGTATTTTTATAATATATGCAACGAGTTACTCCAAATAAAAAATAAACATCAATTTTTAATCATTAAAACCGGAGATATTGCGAGTTATCTAAAATTTGAAGTTGTGAATTCAATTTTTGAAGTGTGTATTTAAAAAAAAACAGGCTAACTCTTGATCTACGGGTTGTAGAACATTGAATTTTTTCTTTATAAAAATGCTAATATTTGGAATAAAAAAACAATTCTTCCTAAATGTTGATGCGTCTTAGTTATTTTAAATATTTTTAAACTTAATATCACAGTACTTTTGTAAATCTATTTTACAATATTTAACATATACTTTTTAAGGGGTTACATAGGTCTTGAATTTTTAGAAAAATCGTTTTTTTTTATTTTACATTAAAGTGTAATACTCCAAGAATATGCACACAAAATTTAAAGTAAATTCAAATAATATTATCGGAGTTATATAGATTGGAATGCCGTGCATGAAGTCAGTACGTGAGCTCTCATGAGATTCTTCTGAAGAACGAATCGAGCGATTTTGCTGAAACTTTGCATAGTTCATTTTTATAGTATTTTTTGTGACTGAACGAAGGAATTAAAGAAAAATGAGGTTTTAAGTTTAAATATGTTTTACTTAATTTTCGTTTGATATTTTTTAGCAGTTTTCCGATTCTCATCGTTTTTAAAACATTTTTTAGTATAACATAGGAACGAGTGGACAGATTTAAAATGCCTTTGTTTGAGCTATTCAGCTATTTGAGCTATTCAAATCTTTATAATGCCAGTAATGTTGCTCGAATTTGGAGATACTCTTGAAGTACTAAACTTTCATATGAAATAAAAATATAAATCAATTTTCTGAAAATACAAGACTTATGTAACCCCTTAATCGTTAAATGATTTCATTTTAATTTAATAATGTACTCCGTTATTATTATTATAAGTCTAACAATAAAACACTAAAAACTTTTGTTTTCAACACTTCCACGAAATTTATTTTAAATTATTATCACTACAGCTGTTTCGACAAGAGTGCCTTTCTCAAGTGATCTATTTTTGGTATGTTTACCCTTTATAGCCTTTAACTGAATAAGTTGAGGAGAGGAGATCTGTTTGTCTTTCAGAAATTTGTCTGTATTTTTGTATTTTTTAATTTGTTAATTTCCATAGACTCTAATACAGATATCTTAAGGCCTTTATTTTGGATCTGAACAATTTGAAATTCATCATTGAAATAATGATTATGATCTAGAAAGTGAAGTGCGTACGTAGAGTCTGTTTTTCTATAATTGAAAGCCCTTTTATGTTTTGCTATACGATTGATAAAAGTTCAAAACAGTTTGAATAATGTAAGGTTTTGGGTAGTTGCCATATTTAAGTGTGTAACACCGCTGTGTAATTACTTTTTTTGGCTCTTGTTGTTTTTAATATATTTGCCAAAGTTGTTTTTTGTTCTAAAAAGCTGGTGATTCCTTTCTTTTTTATGTGTTTGGCTATTTTTGTCTGTATATTTAATCGAGCAGAAGATACTGGGTTTTTTCTCTGGTGTTGCAAGTACTAATTTCAGGGCCTTCTTACGTAGTTTTTGATTTATATTATTAATCTATGTATCATTCTATGGTATACAGCCATGTAGGCCGTGTCAGTATGGGTAGGTTTATGAAATACGGAAAACTCATGATTGTTTTTAAGTCCTTTAATTTTTAAATCTAGAAAATTTATGGATTGACTCTGTTCTGTCTCCATTGTGCATTCAATATGACTATGGAGTGAATTAATTTACGATAAAAATTCGTCAAGTTGTCTGTTAGTTACTGTAAAACATACCAGTACGTAGTCCACGTATCTCCACCAATACAAAAACTGTTTGAATATGGGATGTTTTTAAATCTTTGTTAGATGGTCCATAAAAATATCTGATAGCAATGGGCTTAGAGGATTACCCATTATAAGTCCTGCACTGTTATTTGAATATATTTGATTATTAAATTCAAAGTAGTCCTAGCTTATGCAAATTTCAAGAAAATGTAAAATTTCAGACGTAGTGATTGGATTCGTAATATTATGGTCTAAAAGGTCTTTTATTAGAACAAAAGTTGCTGTAGGAGGAATACTAGAAAATAGGTTTTTGCGTCAAATGATGAGTTGTTAGGGAATTGAAAATGTTTTATTTTATTAATTAGTTTCATTGTATTTTTGACGATACATTGAGTTGAAAACTGAGTGTTCTAAAATATTCTCTAAGAGTTTTTTTTAATAGTTTATATGACGGAGCTGTATAAAAAGAAACTACAGGTCTTATTGGGTGATCACGTTTATGTAATTTAATAAAAGAGTATAATTTAGTAGTCTTTGGATTCATGATGTTGAGGTATTTCTGTTCTATTGAATTTAATATTGATTTTTAATTTTCTAACGCTAGTTTAATTTGTTTTTGGTACTTTTCCGCTGGATCTTTGTTTGTTATTTAAATATTTTGATTATTAAAAAATTCTATTGTTTTGTTATTATATTCTACTTGATTTATAGCAATAGTAGTATTACCTTTATTTGCTTTTGTAAACAGCTGTAGTCATAATAAATAAAAATAAATTTTGTGGAATTGGTGAAAACAAAAGTTTTGAATATTTTATTTTTAGATAAAATGAGTTTCCATTAAGTAACGGTCGAATCCATCACTTATTATTAGTAATGACTTATCAAGTTAATATTTTTTGTCTCTAAAGAGGAGGCAGATTCTTTTCTTATGAGATAACTATTTACACTGAAATCGAACACAACTTTTTAATTGGTTTGACTAAAATATTAAATAGTTACTCAAGTTTCTTTATTTGTGTCGTTTTTATGTGTGTCCTGTTTCTTCTCTTCTTCTCTTTTGTATGTTAAAATGCTGTTTGATATTTTGTTCCAAAACAGACCACTTTCATCATAAGTGAAAACTTGTTAAGAAAGTTCTTAAAGCCTTAAAGGAAATTGATTCTCTAACATAATATAAATGGCTGTTTTATAAGTCAAAGACTGAATCAACTTTACCCTGTTATACTTAAAATCGATTTTGATACATTCTTAGATTAGGATGCTTCTTCCCCATTTTATTTTTATTCCTTCTCAGAATACTATATCATTTACTGGGTGTGTTCAACCCCAAATGGATAGTATTAATTAAAATGCCAAACAAATATAAATATTGAAAGATAATTTTGGAACGATTTATTAGGTATTTCAGTAACATTTGTTTTATTTTAGATTTTCCTAACGAACCTCCAGTACCTCCTAGTTTAGTACAAGCCAAAATCCGAGACTCCAAAGAAGATTTCCAAAACAAGGTTTTCTTCAGTTCGCTGAAAGACTTATTTTTAAACAAACCGTTCGTGATACTCATGGTCGCTTATGGTATTAACATTGGCGTTTATTCAGCCGTATCTACACTTTTAAGCCAGTTCATCCTTCAGTATTTCGAGGTAAGATACAAAATTTAAAATATGTAGATCATTTTTGGTTTGTACTTACTACACCTACCTACTTAAATTGTTAGGTGTAAATAATGAAATTATAAGAAGCTACTGAAATAGGTAGAAATGTTACAGAAACTACTTTTTAATAATGAAATTGAAGAGATTCTTAGCGATTGTAGTCCTTGTTAGGACTCATTTTTCATTTAATTTCCATTTAATGCTACTATAACCTTCTTATTATTTAATTGTTTTTTTGTTTGGTGTCTTAGATAATTGCTGAGCCTTCGCGTCTTATAGAATTGTCGCGGGAGTATTTAACATACATGATCCTTAAAAAACGATTAAGGGGATGTACAAATATGTATCGTTTCACAACATGAAAGAAGGGAGGGAAAAACAAAGCTGTAAGGGTTTAATTTTTCAAGTTTTAATTTTTTAGCAAATTGACGGAAAAAGGCGAAAAATAAAAAACAATTTAACTATGGGCAAAGTCTTTGTATAAATAAATACCTTATCCTTTTCTTGATTCAAGAGTTTTTCGACATTAATTACCTGTTTCGGCATAAAAATTCACTCTATCTTTTTAAAGAGCTTCCTAAATATCTTACTTTCGGTTTATTATTTTATATTTTTAATTAGTAAATTGTTTTATAGTTATGATGATATATACATATAAATGAAGATTCTCCTACTAAGTTCTCTTCTATACAACTGTTAGGGTTAGGCCACAATCAATTTTTTTGTAACAATCTTCTTCTTCCTATGCCGTCCCCATTAACGGAGGTTGGCGACCACATTTTTAAAAGCTTCTCTGTCTTTTGCAACGTGGAATTATTTGTCTACAGTCATGTTTGTCCAGTCTCGAATATTTCGCAGCAATGACTTCCTCTTTCTACCTATTCCCTTTTTGCCATCGACTCTACCCTGCATGATGACCTGCAGAAGACTATATTTATTATTTCTTAGTATGTGTCCAAGGTATGCAGTCTTGCGTACTTTTATCGTTCTCAACAATTTTTTGACTCGACCCATTCTTCTCAGCACTTCCTCATTGGTGACCCTGGCAGTCCATGCGATTCTCAACATTCTCCAGTATATCCAAAGTTCAAAGGCTTCAATCTTTTTAACTATTTGCGCTTTTAGTGTCCATGTTTCTACCCCGTACAATAGTTGCAACCAGACGTAACATTCAACAAGCCTCAGTCTCAGCGCAATATTCAGATTTTTGTCACAGAACAATTGTTTGAATTTTAAGAACGCTGCCCTTGCCATTTCTATTCGTACCCGGATCTCTTGGTCTGGATCTAATTCTGTGTTGATGTAAGCTCGCAGATATTTATATTTTGTCACTCTCTCTATTTGCTGTCCACCAAGAGTTAGTTGTTCATTATTTATTGGACTCCTTGATACTCTCATAAATTTGGTCTTATCTGTGTTGATGTCAAGTCCCATTTGAATGCATTCACTATTTATTGCATCTAGTAAAGTTTGTAGATCTTCTATACTCTCAGCCATAATTACCGTGTCATCTGCAAATCTCATGCTTCATAGCAATAAAACACTGAAAACTTTGTTTTCAAACTTCCACAAAATTTATTTTAACTTTTATCACCACAGCTGTTTCGGCCGATTGCCTTTCTCAAGTGATCTATTTTTGGACCTTTGTTTTTTTAAACGTAAGCCAAAAATAGATCCCTTGAGAAAGGCAATCAGCCGAAACAGCTGTAGTGATAAGAGTTCAAATAAATTTTGTAGAAGTTTGAAAACAAAATTTTCAGTGTTTTATTATTACATAAAATGAATTTCCATCAAGTAACGGTCGAATCCATCAATTATCAATTTTTTTTGTTTTACTGATTTGTTTCATAATTTTTTAAGCAAAAGTTGGCTTTTCGTAAGTTTTCCATAATTGCTGTGTTATAAAACTTTATAGTACCATTTAAAATTTGTATAATAACAATTTTTTCTTATTTCAGGATGCTGACACCGATGTTGGTAGGATGGGTTTCTGTATGGTCCTGGCAGGATTGGGTGGTGCGATTGGATTTAGCATTGTGCTAGACAGAACTCTCAAGTTTAAAGCAATAACTATAGTCATATACATGTTCTCGATCATCAGTGTCGTGTTTTTCATGTACGCTCTAGAATCCAGGATCAAATGGCTGACGTATTTAAGCTGCGCTTCTGTGGGGTGAGTTTTCAAATGTGAACTGTAAATAAGTGAATACTAATAATAATCCCATACTCAATCAATACGTGTAGAGATTATAAGTCGTTTTTTGTTGTAACCAATCATACCCCAGCCAACTGACTTGTTGGCTTCTTATATTTACCAATCTTATATTCATGCAATCTTCTGACCTTAGTCTAGAATTAGAATTTTCGGATCGCGCAATCGCCGCTAACATGATTTAAAAACAATTTATTTAGTCCCGCTGGAACCGACTGCTTTTCATGCCCTCCGAAGCATGGTAACGACTCAGTTAAATTGGAAATTTAAACATTTTTGATGTCTATGCCGGGATTGAACACCAGTCTGATTAAAATGCAGATGAGTTAATAATGTTGATGTCTATTATATTCTTATCTATAATCAGTTGTATGAGGTAATTGTGGCTAACCTTATGTGAGGCTTTATTGTAATTGGCGAAATACTAAAATGGTTTATGGACATGCATCTTTAAATTAGTACAATCCTCTCGTATATCCATAGCATGTCTAAAGGTAAATTGGAACAACATATACCAACCACAAACAAGATATTTAACAGAGCTGGTAGATAACCTCAAAAATACGACAAAGAACAATTTCAAGGCCTAACATAAAAAGAAGAATAATAAAAAATAATAACAGGCATACATTTAAACAAATATCCATCAAATACCATAGATATTAAACATGGGCCTTTTTTTAACGAATTATTTTATCATACAGTACAATATTCTGTATTATCATTACTAATTTTGTATTTTCTTCTTTCAGATTGTTTACCACAGCTTTCATGCCAGTAGGTTTCGAATTCGCAATGGAAATGACATATCCAGCCGAAGAGAGCACCACTTCTGGTATTCTGATGGCGATGACACAAGTCTTGGGTGTAGTATTCACCATTTCATTAGGCGTTCTAAACAAAAATCTTGGATGCTTTTGGGCCTTAGCTAGTCAAGCGTTTCTTTTATTAATAGGAGCATTAGTTAACTTATTCGTTCCTAGCAACGTATTGCTACGACAAGATGCTCTCAACCAAATAAATTACGGATCGAAGAGATTAGATCACCATAGGTCTTCAAGATTAGTTTATATACAATAGAAGTTGTTGACATATTCTGGAGAGATCTGATAAGCCGAGATTTTAGTATCAAAGCCACATGCTTAGTATGACTCTATAAATTACATGTCCTCATGTTTTCACTTTTTCTTCATAACTTAATTTTTTAATGCCTTTTTTATACTAATTTCATTGTTTTTATAACGAAGTCATGTCTGGTATCTTGTGCCCCGCATGCCAATGACGGATTATTTCTTGGATTCTTTTTTTATTTTATAATTGAATGTCTTATCTTATCTTAAAAAGAGAAAAACACTAACACAAAGGAACAAGGAGAAATAGAAAATGAGAGAGAAGAGAAGAGGCACAAATCCAAAAAAGAATAACGTCACCATCATCAGCATCGCCATTACCGTACGCGTACACTGCTCGACATAGGTCTCACTCAGCCCATTCCATTTGTCTTTGTATTATATGGCTTGCATCCATTTACTGCTAATGCGCTTCAAGTCGTCATTCCATCTAATTGGTGGGCGTCCCCTTCTTATCTTGGTTTGCACTCGACAACACCCAACATCTGGTGCTCTATAACTCGCTAAGTCAAACGAATCTTATTAACTACCTTTTTTGTGAGATATGTTTCCCTTTATAAGTGAATACAGGTAACATACATATAAGGACGATGTCACCTGCGAATCGCAAATGACTGAGCTTCACTCCATTTATGTTGATACTATAACTATACTCGTTCTTATAAGTATGTTCTAAAAGGATTGAGAATAGCTTTAGATAAACGGTGTCGTCTTACCGTACTCCTCGCTGTATATAGAATTTATTTGTTTCTTGTTCAGATAGTCTTACTCTAGTTGTGGCATTGTGGTAGATATATTTGATTATATTAGTGTAGCAATGATCTACAGCATTATGTCAATGCTTTTAATATTTTGTTTCGGTTTATGGTATTGAATTCTTTCTCGTAGTCCACGAATATCGGTGCTAATGGTTTGTTGTATTCTGCAGAGTTCTACATCAGGTTCTTAAAAATAATAATGAAGGAAAGCAAATTCTATTTCTTGCTGACCCACACCTATTAAAATCTATAAAACATCATTACACCATCCTAGTCATTACAGTTCTAAATAGTAACATGCGAAATAGATGATTAAAGGCACATCATAGAAAAAATTAATTAGTGAAGTAGCAATAAATGCATTATGAGGGTTATATCTTGTAAATTAATCGAAGCAGGATAGCAAATTTTGGAGTTTCATTAAAAAAAAGATAATGCAAAATGGAAATCTTACAAAAAAACTTTTTTACAATATTTCCCAAAGTAAATAAGGTTAAAGTATTGGTGGTTTAGATAAAAGAGTTCCTTAACAACAGATCTGCGTTTGAATTTGATGTTATTTGGATGGAAACTTATAAGTTATTACCAATTTGGTAAATGGAGATAGGTTGCGAAGTAAACAAAGACCAACAATCTGAATAAGGGGCAATTGTCTAATAGAATAACATGACTAGTGATAATATTTATTTCTGGACCAAAAGGGATATATCAGACAATTTTAAGTTATTCTATGAAAATCCATCTCATTGCTAACCTACTCTTGTCAATTTATGCAGACAATTTTGTAGTCCTAACCAAATATTAAACATAATAATAAATGAATAAAAGCCGCCATGGTAACCTGATTTTCAAATTGCGAAGATCTTTGGCAACATGTTATTTAGAGATTTAAAGAATTTGGATGTAAGTACATAAGCTGTCCATCGATCGACAAAGTTGCTAAAAATTTTCCTATTTTTTAATTGCTGTACAATTTTTTACTAGATGTTTGTTTCCGTTTTGTTATACAATAATTAATCTGCAAACTTCCTGGTTTATTGTTGTTCAATAAATTGTTGTTAATAACTGAGTTAAAAATATATATTATATTTTGAAATATGTTATGTTTTGAATAACAAGTTACTTGTAAGATTTATTAACAACTTAGCTTAAGATTTACAATTTAGGATTAATTTATTTTGTATAAAATTGTTTTTAATAAAAAAATATAAATATATCTTACGTCATTGTTATTATAAAGAAAATGTGACTAGGCAAGTTAGTGTTTTGCTTCTTTGCTGTCGGCTGGATTAATTATTCTACTATTCTTCTACATATCGCTAGTTGGGTCATATTAATATTAATTGTAGAAGTAGAAGAAAACCAAATAATATCTGTAGAACTAAGAAGACTTATACTGAGATGTCAGTTGATCAATTATAAAATGTTTATAAAAAAAAATTGAGGTTGAGGAACTCCTCTACCGACAACCAATTAAAAATTCCGACCACATTCTCTAGGCATAAAAGTACTGTTGTGAGTAATTGCGGCCCTATGTGTTAGAAGTCTTTCTCTACCACCGAAATATTCTTCAAACTTATTCTATCAATGAAGATATAACCTTGAAGAATTTACGTAGTTTTCCTCACCCAGTCAACTGTTTCCCGTATGGTTTTAATATTGTCCTCAGGTCCTGTTTTAATAAATTTGTCCTGGCTCAGGAAACATTTATTTATCACTGACCTTGTTGCTACAGTATCGATGGTAAAATTGTATATCTTGCCATTGAGAAGGCTATCGCCAACTAAACTATCACTACTTTAGATTAGAAAATCTGAGGTAATGTAGAGAATGAGAATCTGAGGGCTTGGGACAAAGCAGCCAACCTGCTACCTTTGACGTCAGTCTTTTTTAGTTTTCCGAACTAAGTTGCCGTTGTGTGGATTACCTGCAGGTCGATTTTCTTTTCTCTAGTCTTGTACATTGCAATTACATTAAAGGTGGCTTACCAAACCACAATTGTAATACTTTGGCCGTCCTTGATGCTTTTCTTTCAAAGAATATTTCTCAAATTGAACGGCTAACATCACAATTAGGAATCACGATCCCAGTATTACTTTTTTAACCCTGAACTACTATCGTATATTTACACCCACAAAACTACTATCCATAGGTCATAGATGACCCGAATTTTAAAAACCTCTATGCATGTGTATTCAAAAAAGAGATTTTTTTAAACTTAAATTTTATTTTAAGAAAATTAGGATATGCTCTCTTATTTCATTATTGCCATTGCACTCTTGCTCTCTTATTTCATAATTGTCAAATTTTATTGCTGTGATGAGAAATAAGAAGCGTTTCTTGACATTGTAGAACGAAAAGTTGGTCTATCTAAAATTGTCGAAAATAATTAATCGACATTCTCATGATTAGATCTTAGTACACCTGAAAGGTATAAAAGACAAAAAAGCCCTAATTTACCTTCGTTTAGATGATCGACAAATATACAGGTATCCCCATAATTTACACTGAGCTCGGTAATTTTTTCATTTATGTACTCTAGAATAGAGGTCAACATGTTAGGAGTTATAAGAGTTGAGCAGGATTCAAGTGGAATCACTTATATCTGTTTCGTCCATAGTATAAAATGTGTTTCATTATTAGATGCTGTTTCACATTCGTTGCTTGATAAGTCACTTACGTCAATTTCTGAATCTGTGTCGTGATCAGAGTGTTCACTTTCACTGTCAGTATCACTGTTATTAGAATCACTAAAAGTGCCGATAATCTCGGTTGGCTCTTCCAGGAATTCGATAAAGTCAAAAACATTATCACTTGTCACTGTACTTTCGTTAATTCTTTCAGCCATTTTAATGTATTATCTTAAATAATAATACCGTAACTACTATGGTGGGGTCAAATTCGACCGGAACTTAGCAACACGTGTGCATTATCCCACTGATCGTTTGCGACTAAGCGGCATCCTAAACTACGTACTTTACTTAAGGCCGATCCTCGCGATTCTGGGCATAGGTAAATTCCAATGTAAAAGTTTATATCAAATAACGCAAAAACTATGGCAGATATTGAGATGATTCTTTTTTTATATGGAAGGTCTAAAAAAGTTCTAGTGCACTATTTGGTTGTAAATTAATAAAATGTTTAAACAATATTTTTTTTTCAAATATTTTTGGTTAAAATAAACGTAAAAATTTTTTTTTGAAATAGGGCACTACAGAATTTGACCCATTTTCCGAATCTGTTTTTATTTTTAACATAAAGTGTAACACAAAGCAGCTATTTGATATAAACTTTTAAAAAATTTCAAATTTCTGCTAAATGCAATTTTCTCTCCGTCAGCACAGGGTGTCCTTGTCGGTAGCTTCTGGATTCTCGCCAGGTAGGTAAAACCCTCGGAGGAGGATAAATAAAGTTGAATAACATTATTAGGGCTTATTTCGACTTTTGACAAACCAGTGTGTTTATTGTATTTAAAATAGGAAATTTTATATAAATAAGCAGTAAGTACCTATAATTTTATTAAATTTTTATATGAATAGAAATATTTTCTGTTGATTTTCTATTATACTATATATAAAATTTATACTGTTTTTATAATAATACAATTGTTTCAGTATTTGCTTATATAATAATAATTTATTATATAGAAACAGCGTAGAGTTTTGGTCAATCATCCAGTACATTTTTTTTGTATTTCAATCAGAATTATTATTTTCTCTTCTTCTTTACATGAGCTCAGAGTAATAACTAGAATAAGTTAATAAGTAAATAGTTAGAAGTAAACTCAGATGAGAATTACTTTGAATATCAGATTATTCAACTCAAGGGACCAAGAAATAACCCAAGTGTTGAAAGAGAAAGAAATAGACATGTGTGCTCTACAGCAAACAAAAAATAAAGGAAAAGGTCAATCAAAATTAGGTGAATACATGCTAATCTACAGTGGAGTAGCAAAAGAAAACAGGGCCAAAGAAAGTGTAGCCTTACTAATACACCAAAGGTATCAAAATTACATCAAACAGTGTCAATACATATCAGAAAGAATAGTAACATCAAAGATAAGAATGGAGAAGGAAAACCTGAACATTATCGGAGTATACGACCCAGAAAATAATAAGCCTCCACCAACAAGGGAAGTGTTTTACGACCAATTACAACAAGTAGTTGAAAAACTTAAATATATAAATACGATAATAAGAACTACGGGAAAGAAACACCTAACCAAATCTGCAAAGAAACATAAGGTGTGGATGACACCAGACATTCTAGAACTAATGGATGAAAGACGTAAAATGAAGAATAATGCAGAAAAATACAAAGAGGTTGATAAGAACATAAAGCAAAGAATAAGAAATGCCAAAGAATCATGGATTACAGAACAATGTGTAGAAATGGAAAACTATCAAAGAAAGTATGACACGTTCAATATACATAAAAAAGTAAGAGAAATTACAGGAACCCAAAGAAGACGTCAAATAAGTTTGCTTAAGAACAAAGATGGAAAGATTATTATAGATTTAACAGAGAAAATTAATAGATGGAGTGAATACATAAGAGAATTATTTGAGGACAACAGAAATAACCTTGTTCTGATATATGGCGAAACGGGACCTGAAATTCTAAAATGTGAAGTAGAAATGGCACTTAAAAATTCCAAAACTGGGAAGACAAATGGACCGGATGAGGTTCCTACCGAATTTCTAAAGCTCTTGAATGATGAATCAATAGGTATAATATTGCACTTATTTAATACAATATACGATACTGGCATTATACCTCAAGAGTGGCTGTTGTCTACATTCGTTACACTGCCAAAGAAATCTAATGCTAAAGAATGTTCAGAACATCGAACAATATCTTTAATGAGCCATCTACTAAAGATATTTCTAAAAATCATCCACAACCGAGTTTATCAAAAGTTGGAGTCAGATATTAGTAATACACAGATGGGGTTCAGAAAAGGGCTTGGTGCTCGAGAAGCTCTCTTCGGTTTGAATGTTCTCACACAAAGATGCCTAGACGTTAATCAGGAGGTACATACGTGTTTTATCGATTTTGAAAAAGCGTTTGACAGAGTACGCCATGATAAGCTTAGAGAGATTCTTGAAAGGAAGGACATACTGTCTTACTAATAAAACACTCGTATTCTAAGGTTATTCCGTATTTATACTTAGGATAGTTATCCTAAGTATAAGGTAAATATAATACTAAAATAATTTGTTACAAATAAACTCGGTATAAGTTAGTTATAAGTATTCCCACTTTATTCCGAAATAATAGTTTGGCAATGTCGCAATCTTTTGCATAAATACATAGAACAACGAAATATTGAGTGAAATTTGTCAATGTTGATTTGTCTTTGAAACTAAAAATGACAACTGACACCATATATATCTTTATTTGTTATCTTATATGTTGAGTTTGAATATTTAAAAATTGCAAAAAACTTTACACCGCCTTTAGAAAACCGATATTTTATTCTAAATTCCCTATCAGTGTTTTGAAAAGGGATTTATTCTTTCTTTAAAAGTTTTTCTCTTTGGTGTATTTTCCATCATGTTAATTAAATTATCAACATTCTCGACAGCCGCAACACCTCTTAAAACATTTTTTTTTTATTAAATAGCTACTCACAAAATAATACAAAAAATAATATATTCTTGTCACTGATGACTTTCACATTATTATAAAATAGGTTATACCGTTATACCAGACTTAAACTAGGGTGCGGGTTGGTATAATCTTGGAATAAATTCTTATATCAAGTATAACCTATATCTAAGTTATTCCGTGTTTATTGGTAAAGATTTTGCCTATACCTGAATTATTCTCAGTATAAGTTTTATACTTGGTTTATTAGTTATGCTGATAGATAATAAAGATCTGCGAATAATTCTCAATCTATATTGGAATCAGAAAGCTAATATCAAAATAGAAACTGAAACATCACAAGCAATAGAAATACGTAGAGGAGTACGACAGGGTTGCATTTTGTCACCTCTGTTATTTAATGTATATAGTGAAAGCATCTGTCAGGAAGCCCTTTTACAAGCAAACGGAGGAATCGTAATTAATGGAGAGATTGTAAATAATATTCGATACGCGGACGACACTGTACTAGTTGCAAGAACAGTAGAAGAATTACAAAGATTACTTACAGACATAAATATTGCTTGCAACAATTATGGTATAAATATCAATATTAAAAAAACCAAGTATATGGTCTTCAGTAAAAACATGACACAACCAGCGTATATTAGTATAAACGGCACTCAAGTTGAAAAAGTATCAAACTACAAATACTTGATAACTTTAATAAACGAAACTGGAGACCAAAACAGTGAAATAAAAAGACGTATCGAAATTGCCAGGGCCACCTTCATAAAGATGAGAAAATTCTTCTGCAACAGAAAGAGTCTTCTTACAAACTCCTTCTGATGACGGGTAGACCCAGAAACACGTGTCAGGAAGTGGTAAGAGACTCAAATTAAATCGAAACGCAACATTCTTCGTATAGAAATACAAGCATCCCTCTACGATTAAGAATGCTGAGAGGCTATGTATTTAACACGCTATTATACGGTGTAGAGGCCTGGACTCTCAAACAGAACAACATGAAAAATATTGAAAGTTTCGAGATGTGGTGCTACCGTCGAATGCTGAAGATTAGTTGGGTTGAAAGAATAACAAACTGTGAAGTAATACGAAGAATAGGAAAAGACCCAGAGATTTTGTTAACGCTAAAGCGAAGAAAACTCGAATATTTTGGTCACCTGATGAGAGGACATAAATACGCATTACTTCAAAATATAATGCAGGGAAAAATAGAAGGAAAACGGAATCCAGGCCGTAGAAGAATGTCATGGTTGCGGAATTTGAGAGAGTGGTTTGGCTGCACCACTAATGAACTCTTTAGGTCAGCCGTAAACAAGGTCAGAATAGCCTTGATGATTTCCAATCTCCGATAGGAGTGGCACAAAAAGAAGAAGAACAACAAGTAGTAGATCAAGTCAAAGAAAAGATGATAATTCACAGCTAATTTGATTATAATAATTAAGGAACCTCATTTTTTGCCATGTTAAGAAATGGGATTTGTATTTTTTGTTAAAAAATTTGCACAAACATTGTACCTTTACAGGACCCTCTACGAATTTTTAAAAATGTAGTTCAAATAGTGACTAGGAAGAACCTACAAATCCATACCGAACAAGCAATTTCAAACTAATAAAATTTTCTATATCTCCGGATCTACTGAATGGATTGTGATCATTGTTTTTTTAATTTGTATGTAATTTCTACGTACATTAGGAATTAGTAATTTGTTTATATATTAATTAATTAATAAATACTCTAGTTTGTTTAAACAATTCGTGCAAAAAAATTTTCTTCCAAAAATCTATTTTTTTTAATACTAGTATCAATAATCATAGAAACAGTCGCGTTTTTTGCATTAAATTGTCAATAATTAAAAAACAGCTCCAGATTCAAGGCAAGAAACAAGTAGGTTTTTTTCCTAGAGGTCTACAATAACTAAAAAAGCTGTCACCGACCTAGATTATTGAGTGTCACGAACATGGTCTATTTTTTGCTTATTTCCCTGGAGTATATATTTGATTAACATCTGTGTAATTTCTTTGTCGCTTCCTTGCTGGTTTTGCACATTGCTATGATAGCAATATCTTCGGTAAATGTTGCAATTGTATATTTTCTAGGACAATAATACAACACGTATACAAAAGGTAAAGACACTTCTTTGTGGCAGCCCTGCTATAATATCTGTCAATTCCATGTATGTTTCTTCCTGTTTAATTCTGAAATATCTTGGGATGAATACATGGAATAGAAAGGTCGTTTGTGAAACTATCTATCAGTGGCGCAAGAAATTTTAAGTACATTACTACCCCACGAGAGTAGTTTAGGTTTAAAACCCTTTGAATTGTTGAATGATTTGGAATTAGTCTATTGGGGTATCTTACGCTAAATAAATAGCTGACAGTGCACGCACCATTCCCCGAATAAAACATGTTTATTATTGCTGCTTTCTCCAGTATATTTTATTAACTTTATTATTTTTTAACACGTTTGCTGCTAGACATATTTTTTAACATTATATATATATATATATATATATATATATATATATATATATATAGATACAAATGGAAAACTTATATCTAGATACATATATACATATATATATATATATATATACTTAGTAAATTCTCTTGGGCTTAGGTTCATAAAAAAAATTAGTTTGATACTAAGACATTTTTATATCTTTTTTTCCGACGTTTCGGCAGGAAATCCATGCCTTTTTCAAGAAATAATATTGACAAGCATGTAAAAATTCGGTATTAACAAGTAGACGTCACAATTAAAATAATATTAAAACATAGGACATACCCACTAAGTCACTACACATAAAATGTATTTTAAATCTCGAGATTGTGGTCGAAATATGTTCCAAACAAATACGTTTGCATCAATGAGACACTCTTGCCATTTAGTGAAAGATTAGGCTTTAGGCAATTCATAAAATCGAAACGAGATAATTCTGGTGTGATCATTTACCAATAATGACCACGTACTCTGACAAATTTATTATACTTTTGCAAAACTTTGAAATGTATAATTCGTAGAACAATTTTAATATGTGTTTTCAATACATATTTTAGTCCTCTATAAACAGTTTTTTATAACTTTTGATGAAATAATTAGAGAAGCAGAAATTCAAAAGTTTAAAAAATGTTTTATTAAGTTTCCTTTGGACCATTTTGACGATTTACCACCCGGTATATTATTCTGTTACTAAAATAAATAAATCTCTCGGGAGAGCCTGTAACTCCTAGAGAGCGCGTGCCTAGGAATGTTAATCAGTTATACAAAACCATCAAAGAATGTATACACGCCGCTGTCCTAGAAGTACTAGGACGATATGAAAAAATCGGACAACAAAAACCATATTGGTGGGATCAAGATATTTCGCAGGAAATAACTCAGAAAAGAAAATTGTATCAAAAAATATCTAAACACAAGAAATGTGGAAGACAGAATCGAATACAAAAGAATGCAAGCGATGGTCAAAAGAAGAAGAAAAGTGTACCAAAAGAAAAATGAATATTGAAACATCCATGCAAACGAAACCTATAATAAAGATCTTAAATGTTACTAAGGCACTTCTTATAAATATTATATTATACGAATAAATTTTAATAAAACAACATCCAAATCAATTAAATATATTTGTACATATTTACAATAACCAACGCTTTCGAAGAAGAAAACATCATCCCTTCTTGTCGCTTTTAATTAATTAAATATATCATATATTAAATGTATACATATATATTAATCATATACAACATATATTAAACATATTTACAACATATATTAAACATATTTACAATACTCTATGCTTTTAAAGCCAACATTTCTTCTTCTTGACGTTTATTCTTTTCGAACTCGTCTTGCCTTCTTTTGACATTTGGTATATTCTGCGTGAGTATGGCCCCTATTACCAGACACAATCCAAGAAACACCAGGGATAATAGTGGTCCTGCAGAAAGTCATAAACTATTTAAAACTTCATAAAATTAAAATCAAAACAAACAGTTCATTTAGATCTGTTCAATTAAGAGTAGAATAAAAACAATTTTTATTAACCAAACATTTTATTACATAGTTCTCCGTTCACATAGGTATATTATTTCAGTTTTTTTTTTAATCTAGCAAAAAAATTGCTTTAATTTTTTAAAGATTTTAATTTTAATTGCTTAAAAGAACGAACAGGCGGCCAAACTATCCAACGATCTCCTGGCCAATACACAACTGCAAACATGAACGCCCAACCAGGAAACGGTTCTTATGAGAACCAAATGACTAGAACTCTTGGACCCATTGTCCGGATTTGTCAGATAAATATTGAAGGCATTAGCCGATCCAAAAGCGAACTGCTGTCAAACATACTACTTTCTAACGACATCGACTTGGTAGTTATACAGGAAACCCATGCTGCGGACGAACAACAACTCGCAAGTAGGGGCAAAATTCCAGGCTATGATCTTCTGGGAGCAACCTATCACCATGCATATGGTACCGCCAACTACGTAAAAAACTCCGTAGAAAACGCTCACTTCGTATCTTCCACCACGCAAGATAATATACATTTGACCGTTACCAAAATAGGTGAAATCGAAGTGACAAATGTTTATAAACCCCCAAGTATTACATGGCCAAGCCACGTCATAGACATAAGGCCCCATCCAGGGGCTCCATCATCTATTTAGGTGATTTTAACAGCCATCATCAAGAGTGGAAATACAGAAACAACGATGAAAACGGGGAGACACTGTTAGACTGGGCAGAGAGTAACCACCTGCATCACGTCTTCGATGCCAAAGACCGGGGCACTTTTAAATCGGCGGCATGGAAACAAGAGTACAATCCAGATTTATGTTTTGTGAGCAAAAACCAGAAAAGCTACCCCTTACCAACCAAGAGAAGAGTACTTCATGACTTCCCGCATAGCCAGCACAGGCCGATCATTATTGAGATTGGTATCCAAATCTCACTAGTTACAACCATTCCACGACCACGCTGGAACTTTAACAAAGGTAACTGGCCCGCCTTTACCAATGAACTCGATAAAATCTTCCGATGGATTCCACCAACATACAAAAATTATGAAAGGTTTAGAGGGGCAATAATTGCTACAGCAAAGAAACACATTCCCAGGGGCCATCGTTAGCAATACATACCAGGATGGAGTAAGGAAAGCCAAAACCTCTACGAAGAATATCTTGAAACCGGTGAAAGTGACATTGCGGACGAACTTCTCCTGAGCCTTGATGTAGCAAGAAGGAAGAAATGGACAAATGAAGTCGAATCGTTAGATTTCAAAAAGTCTAGCCGTAAAGCGTGGTCGCTCCTAAGAAAACTCGGAAGTGACAAACTGGCAACACGACAAATCCACGACTTCAACCCTAATAAAATTGCATCACATATAGTTGCCACCTCCAGAGGAGCATGTGATAAAAAGTTTACCACTACTATAAAAAGGGAGCTTAAACATCTAAAAGCTGCCTGTCCATCAGATACAGAGTACTCCGCACCGTTCACTCCAGAAGAAGTCTCAAACGCCATCAAAGACATTAAACCTAACAAAGCTCCTGGTACAGACGGTATACCTCCCGAATTCCTGATCCATTGTGGGAAATCTGCAAAAACCTGGTTGTCTAAATTCTATACAGATATACTCAAAACAGGTAACCTACCAAACCTCTTTAAACAAACAAAAATCATAGCCATCCTGAAACCTGGAAAATCAACAGAGAACCCAGCGAGTTACTGCCCCATCGCTTTACTCAGTTCAGCTTACAAGCTCCTCGAAAGACTGGTCCTGAACAGAATCGGCCCAAAGCTACTTCAAAAAATACCAATTGAACAAGCAGGATTCAGGCCTCGACGAAGCACCACTGACCAAGTGCTCTCTATAACTACCTATATAGAGGCAGGTTACCAAAGAAAACTGAAGACGTCTGTGGCATTCATCGATTTATCGGCTGCCTATGACACGGTTTGGAAAGATGGCCTCATCTATAAGCTCCTTAAAATAATCCTCTGCAAAGCAACCGCCCGACTCATAAATACTATGCTGAGCAGTAGAAACATCCGTGTAACCATGAGAACTACAGTGAGCAAACAGAGAACGCTTAATAATGGCCTCCCCCAGGGCTCCATACTTGCACCGCTGCTATTTAGTATGTATATAGCTGATATGCCCCCTACCAGATCTAAAAAATTTGGATATGCAGACGACTGGGCACTTGCAACTCAAAGCTCCTTAATACAAAACTCCGAGGCAATCCTAACGGAAGATCTGGAACGCCTGGTTAAGTACTTTAAACAATGGAGACTTAAACCTAACCCCAAAAAACCGAGGTTAGCTGTTTTCACCTGAAAAACAAAATGGCCCACACAAAACTTAAAGTATACATTGATAACCAACTGCTCACGCACAACTATAATCCCAAGTACCTCCGCGTCACCCTGGACAGAACACTCTCCTTTAAGAAACATCTTGAGAACACCGCAGCAAAGCTGAGAACCCGTAACAACATCATACAGAAGCTTTGCGGGACTACATGGGGCTCATCAGCAGGTACACTTCGGTGTTCAGCCCTTGGACTCGTATACTCCGCAGCTGAATACTGCTCTCCTGTTTGGCTGAATAGCGTTCACACAAAAATTATAGATACCCAGCTCAATGTCGCCATGCGTCTCATATCTGGAACGATCAAGTCTACACCTGTGGAGTCGCTTCCACTACTGAGCCATATACCTCCACCTAATCTTCGTCATCAGCATGCTCTGCTTAGAGAATTCCAAAAGCTGCTTAACAACCCGCAATTACCTATACACACATATGTCGCCGACGCTAATTCACATCGATTGCGCTCCAGAAAACCTCCGACTAGAGATGCAATAAACTTGAGTTCCAACAATTTCCAAATGAACTCCCAGTGGAAGAACATGCAGAGCGACAGACCGAACCTAATAATGAGAAACACACCATGCATCACAGAAACTCCACCAGGTTTTGACCTCCCCCGAAAATCATGGTCAACTCTTAACAGGATAAGAACGGGCCATGGAGTCTGCGCAGATTCCCTTTATAAATGGAGGATGAGAACCTCTGCTGAGTGCGACTGCGGTGCCGAGAAACAGACCATCCAGCATATGATTGCCGAGTGCCCTCGGAGGAAGTATTATGGAGATCCTCTAGACTTCGCCTCTGCAACACCAGCGTCGATTGAATATATTAATACATTAGATGTTAGATTGTAACATACATGTGATAATGTTGTGTATCAAATTGCGATAGGCTAAATAAATAATTGCTTTAATGAAAAATATCTCATCTTAAAACACTTTATTTATTAGCTGTATGAGGAAAAAATTAAAAACTTAAGTGAGTACAGGAATTTACATAAGGTTTTTGATATATTACTGTAATACGAGTCTTCCAATAGGGTCGTTCAAACTGGAAATTGGTAGCGACCATGCTGCTGAAGCTACATCTGTCAAATTATGTGCTATTTATTCAGTCTGTTTTCTAAATTTAGACGGTTCAGCATAGCGTACCCACATCACGTGCAAATGATAAAATTATTTTATCAAAATGAGTGTTCTTTTCGAGCGTTTCGCCCAGTTTACGCTCGCTATAAACGCCGATACGCCGAAACAGCCGATTTCACGTCCCTCACAAGAACTCGCAGACCACAACTTGGCAAATGCACCAGTTAAAAATTCGAATGACCCAGAAACTAAAGGTAAACGATCATAGACAATGATGTGTGTTCGTTGAATAGATTATGAAGCAATAGGAAGCTGACCCTAATTTTCATCGAAAAATTTTTGGGTGAATGGGTCCGTCACCAAACAGAATTGTCGAAATTTACAATGCTGTTGATTCGGTGCAAAAAGATAAAATGTAGAACAAAAGAGAAAATCAATTAATTTTGAATGAAGTCAATGATTCTGTCTCCTGTAGCCGACCAGAATGTAGCTTCCACTAGTTTTTAAATAATTTTAAACTGTTTGTCCTTGTTAAGTGTAGTGTTACGTTCAATTCTATGTTTAATGTTAAGTTTATGACATTCTGCGATTGTTGGATAGCCCAAAATTGACGAAATTCTCCTGAAGATGCTCTAGGTAGCGAAAGTACTTGGGCAAGATTTAATTATTAAAACAGTGCTCGATATCTGCCTTTCATTTTATCAAAATTCATTTCTTCGAGCATCTAACCTTATATCAATTTATTTTTATAATTATTGTCCTATGACGGAAGAGATTGTGTTTCGATTCAGAACAACTATATATGGCGCTCTGATGACACCTAAAGAGGTTGAAATACGTTTAAGCAACTTGCAGATGCCCTGCATCGAAATAAAAGCTAATACTTTCTTTATGTTCTAAAAATATTTCTTTTAAATGTCAAAACAGTATTTCTGTATAAGGGGAAACTTGGAACACAGACAAAATATTCGTTAATAAAGTATAGATTTTCATTAACAAATCCCTAAGAGTATTATGCAAAATTTTCTCGCCAAATAAAATTAATACTATAGACCTAATGATGCTTATAAAGGAAAAATCTTCATTGACTTCTATAGGTTATTCCATGAATATACGACTGTTTTGGATTATTGCGACAACGAATATTTTACTGTGCAAGCAGAAGTATGAAAGTAAATTGGTCTAATCGTTATTCCAATAAAAAGAATTTACGGTTAGTAAGACATCTAAACTAAAATTATTTCAGTTAATGGATGTTTAGATAGACGCAAAATTTATTGTAAAATTTATTTCGAAATAACAAAAATGTTTATGCAAACGCTTCTACAAATAAATTCAATGACTTCTATGATAAAGTGACTTCTATAAATAAAAACACCAAAGAGCCGTGCCGGTTTTCTTCGATATTACACTATTTTATTACTTTATTAGGTACTACAACTGTAATTCGAGAAAATATATTATTTTTAATATAAATGAAAAGAAATTTTCAGAACGATGGTTCAGAAACCAGAAAAAGAACCTAATATTTCACTTTGTTAGTTTTAAATATTTGTTTGCTTTGAGTGGATGTACTCTTAAAACTTCTGAAAGTAGCGGGTATATTATACTGGCTATTTATAGTTAAAGTGCCGAGTCGTTATAGATATTAAAAAGTAACGAAATTTACATTTTAAATTTAATTTGATTTTAATTTTAAAAACCGTCCGTACAAAGATGTCCGGTGAAGAGAGGTGTCCGTTAAGAGAAAGTTTAGTGTAGTGTACTTGTTTAATGAAGCCAAAAATGCAGAGACATATTTTAGATGTAGCGGGGCCTTGGCAACCAGTTCAGTCCGTACACAAACGTGTGTGTGATGCACTCTGTATTAGTGAAACAAAACTAAAGTCGGTTTTGCAAAAAGCAAAAAAAATTGGACAAAGTAAACAAAATGTCGCAAAATATAAATCTCGGCGACAACCAAAGACTATAGGTCTTCTAGAAGGTTGCAAATTTAAAATCCGTGAGACAATATAATAAAGTGCGCGAAAAGAACGAACATGTTTCTTTAGACTCAGTGTTATAAAAATTAAAAAACAGAAATATATTTGAAATTTCCCGAACAAGTCTCTAAAGAGTTTAAATAGATTGGCTTTAAGTTCAAAAAGGAAGACAATAAAAGGCTTTGTGTGAAAAAGCTAGTGTCGGTCACAAAAGAATAGAATTTTTAAAAAATTATAACAAATTTAAAAAATAATGTTCTTCCTTCGTTTCTTTAGACGAAACATGGATTTTTTTTAAAGGCAGTATCAAACTAATTTGGCAGGACGAAAGTATAAAATCCATAAAACACGTCGATAACGAGGGAAAGAGATATATTAAAGTGCATGTAGGTGGAAAACACGGTTTTATTGAGCAGATCTTGTGTTTTCATCAAAATCAAAATCAGCCTATTATCATGGCAATATGAGTACGGAGATGTTTGTGAAATGGTTGAAAGAAAAACTGTTGCCAAGTTTACATGAACCATCCATTATAGTACTGGATAATGCTCCGTACCATTCGGAAATTTTAAATAAGCAACCAACACACACCTTGACCGTAGATATAATAAAAGAATTACTGTTCAATTACTGAATTACTACTCAATACTGTTTTAAGCCTCAATTACTAACGTTAGCTAAAAGTCAGTCATATGGTAGACGAAATTGCATTGGACATCGTGTGTTAAAACTACCGCCCTATCATTACCAATTCAATCCAAATGAACATATTTGGGGGATATGCAAAACCTATTATGATAACCATATTGGACACAAGGATTACAGTGACGAGGCAGTCTTGGAAACATGGCAACAAGCATCGGATATTGCAACTCTTGAAATTTGGGAAAAAAGTGTAAAAAAATGTGAAGACTTAATTGAAGAATGGTGGATCCGTAAAGGTCGCATCAAAACAGTTAATCCTGTTATAATTTACCGTCCGATTGAGGATAGCGACGACAATGATTATGGCTGTGAGTCTGATGGTTGATGAGAGTTTTAGGAGATTAGAAGAATAAGAGAATAAGTAAGTTTTTTTGTTTCTTTAATACTAATTGAATATTCGATTAAATAAATTAAAGTATTTAATCACTTAAGTATTAATACACTTGCTTTAAATCACTTAATTCAAAAACCAACTTGTTTACAATACTAAACTCAATGATAGCAATTATATACTTCAAGATCTGAATTACAACTGTTCTATAAATTATCAATATATTTATATCATGTCTTCATATTTAAATCTAAGGTTTATATCTGTCATAACAGTATTTTAAAAATGGGGAGAATTTACTATTGTACAATTCAGCACATTGGACCATTTAAATGGATACCTTAAACCGAATTTAAAACAGTGGTATATTCGTGGAATGGAGTATACCGATAATACCATCGTGAGAAAAAATGGTAATTGTAGGCCACACTCTCAGGAAACCAAAAAAGACCATATCGACAAACACTGAATTTTATCATGCATGGAAAGAGATGGGTGTTGAGACAACCTAACCTATAAAGGAGAAGTACACGCTGAAGTAGATAGAAAGAAGAAAATAGGTAGATAGGTCCAACGATGAAAAAGTTGAAGTGAAGAAAGTCATTGTAGGGATTCCATTGTAACGTCTCTAACAAGCTATGTTTAAGTAGCATAGAGAAAAATCATAAACGAAAAGTCTTATAAAAGATTAAACTAAACTAAAAACCCAGCACCAATGTATCGTGAAGACTGGGGATTTAATATAGTACAGATAATTTTCGAAAAAATATTATATGTTCGAAAAAAAAGTATTAGTTGACCTACCTGTGTTTATAACTATATATTTGAACATAAAATTTCGATAAAATTCTTACCTATCTGATGATTTAGTTTCCCTAGAGCTAGTGTTACTATTACGCCCATAGATTGAGTCACGGCATTCATAAGACCAGTGGTTGTACTTTCATCTGAAGGAAATGTTAGTTCTACCGCTAGTTCAAAGCCTATGGGCATGTAGCAGTTGAAGAAAAATCTTAAACAGACGAAAATTGTGATTATAACAATATGAAAGTTTCAATTGTTTTTGTACAGCGTTTTCAATGTATTTCCAATCATGCCAATAATACTGATCAAAATAATAATGCAGGGAAATTGTAATCATTTATATTTTACTCCCTCATGTGCATTATATATTCGGTGAGATGAATAATCCAGCAAGGCAACCGATACCTTATAATTTGAAGTTTTAGTAACTGTCATAAAGTAAATCAGAAGTGTTTTTATGTATAATATATAGACAACCATTTAATTTACCGAAATCTTTGAGAAAATTATAAAAATGGAAACGATATAATATAAACAGATTAATATGAAAATTGTAATATACCGAGGAAAGGATGCAAATATGGGCTACCCATTTTGTATATCTTTATAAAAAAAGAATAAAAATTCTATTTCAATTTCAAAGGTACGTAACAATACCTATATTTAGTTACTTATAAAAAATATACTAATAATGAAAAATTGTACTTTTGTGTCGTTTGAATAATGATCCTAAATATGGGCTACCCCTAAAAATGTGTCTTAAATTTGGGTGAAATTTTAATATCTAAAATATAAACAATATATTAAATAACTCATAGGCAATGACGCATGTATGATTTTCTCAAGTTTCCTTTTTTTACTAGGGGATAAACTATTTGCAAGTCACACACATATTCTTCTTTTTCGACGACAGCGCACTCGTTATATGCCCACAAATGACACATGAAGCACTTGACCTATATTTCACCAAGATTAACCTCTGAAAAAAGTGCTTCGCAAAACGTACACGTTACGTCAGCTGCGTCTTGTAAAGGCTGTGCAGGAAACTCATTGTAATCGCTCTTATCATCTGGAGGCACATATTCCTCCTCATCCTCGCTACTAGAACCCGATTTCTTTTTTTGGTTCTTTGTCTTTTGTAATCTGCTTACGTTTTCCTTTTTTTATTTCTTCCCCTTTTCTTTTTTCTTTGCCTTTTCCAACTTTGTTTTGCTCCCCTTTTTCTTTGTTGAGAGATTGAATCAATTAATTTTTGTGAGGTGAAGAGGTTATCACTTACTTGGCTTACGCCCATGATTGGAGGTTTTTCTTCTTCAATAATGGCACAGGAGAAAGATCACATGGTGTTAGCAGAGATGTTCTTAAAGACCCAAATGTGGAAGGAATTGATGGAGTGGGCTTATTCTCAAATAATTTTCTTTTTACACCAAGGTCTACACAAGGTCTTCTGGAAGACGTGGCAGACTTTCTGTAAAAGCTTGTTGTGGAAATAGCGACAAGCTATGAACTTGTTAAAGAAATAGAATCAAGTTGTGTATTAGTTTTAAGAATAGTTTCAAGCTGTTTATGAGACCCAAATGAAATAGTGGAAGAATTAGATGATAAATTATTGTGGCTGGAACGACAATCTGGTGTGCTTTTTGAGTTAATAGAGTTTTTGTAGAATTGCATCAAATGCACTCAGTGGACGATTATTGTGGCGCAACTAGACCCTGATCCCTTCGCTGTAGTAAGCCTTAAGAACACCTATGTAGGTTTGATCCAATGGCTGGAGTTTGTTACCATCCATAATAAGCAGGATGGTGATTTTCATCACCGTTAGTGGGATGGACCACCATCATTGGTGATGGTGGATGAATTGCCCAGCAGCGCTTATCGATATCACGACGGTGATCAGAGAGCCCCTTTCAGCAAATGTCAATGATGCAATTTGTCGTTTCCCTTTTAGGCCTACTAACTGTGCAATCTTGTTTTGTGTAACCGTAAGACCTGTCTCGTTCGTCCACATTGAAGATACATTCAGGTGGGTAAAACTGTTTAACATTGAAGAAAAATGCGACATTTTCTTTGTGGAAGACTCTTGCTCATGAATATGATGTTCCCGTTGGTCGCCGTACTGCTAGCTCTTTATGGCGTTGCAGGAAAAGCCTCAGTCCGACTCTGTCTGCCGTATTACCTATAAACGGATGTTTGATATTGTTCCTGGAAGCTAAGACGTAAATCATCCACCTAAGATCTTTTCTGCTTAATCCATGAAATATATAACGAACTAACTCGTTCTCAAGATCATTCCCTAAGACAGCTTTACGCCCTAACTTTCTTTGAGCAGCTTCGATTGGCTTTAGTTCAAGTTTTCTTGCAGAACGTTGCAATGTAGAACGTGGAACATTAAACATTTTTGCAGCTTTCAGTGTACCCATTTCGTGCTGCCTGGCAGCTATAATTGCACGTTCCATATCTCTCTCATCCCATTTTTTAAATCTTCTTTCAGCTGTTGGTTTGACATCCTGAAACAATTGAAGTATGTTCTACATTATTCAAAATATGAGCCACTAGCCTATAATGAAAACAGAGGCATAGCCCATATTGTAAACACGCTTGCTTTGCACAACAAAAGAGGTTATGTCTAAAAGTAGTCAATTTGAAGAAAACTCATTAGCATAAAATATATCAAATACTGATTATAGAGCTTCAACGTGAGACAGACGTTTTTTTGAAATTAGTGTTTATTTTCAAATACTGGAATTTATAGACTTTCCCGAAAAAGGTTTGACACTCACACCAACCGACAAACAATTATTATAAACTGAGAAATATCTACCAATGTGACGCCATCGCTACGGTGATAGTTTCACTTCGCCAAATACCGTTTGCAATAGTCAAAATGTAGAGATCTGCAACGAATAGCTGTGAAATCTACCTAGCCCATATTTGCAGCCTTTCCTGTAGTAGGACATGTTTTACATATTTCTATAAAAATATACATACGCTGCTAATATCTTTAAATGAATACACGAATAAATGTTCTTTTTCTGCAATGATATTTCATTTGTAATAAAACTTACCCAGCAAAAATACAAGTAGCGTAAGTCAACGGCAGGCTTCGCATTCTAAGAGCCCCAGCCATCGCCAACATTCCTACGGCCGCCATGCAATACACGAACAGGGTGGTTTCTCTGAAACGTGGCAAACAAGTATCAAAAGATATTTATCTATTTCTATAATTACTTGTAACGATGTGTCTTATCCAGGAATATTCCCAAGAGGATCGATCCGATCATACCAAATACGACCGCCAACAGGCCCATTCTACCAGCGTCTTCTTCGCCATGCTGCAATAAATTCAATGTAAGATTTCGTTGAAATTTTACTATGGAAAAATTTTACGGTATTTTATTTTTAAATTTAATTCTTGAAGTGTTTATTTTAATCAGTTTATACTTTTTTAAAATAGGGTTTCTTTTTCATACCATTAACATCTTTATGACAATGTGGATAAAACAATATACTATTAGGTTAAACAATTAATTAAAGCCACAAGAAAGGACAAAAAAGAAGAAGTTCTTAATAACAAATACTTGATACAAATTACGTATTTGATTTTATTTTTAATTTTTATGGTAATTTAATTAACGTGTAAATAGAAATGAAACGTCGAACAGCAAATCACACAATTATTGTTTAACTTCTACTCAAAAGAAATTTTTGCAACGAAACTTTGTGGTTCCTTTTAACTTTTAGTAATACTTACCGGAAAAAAGTGTACAACTATCTGGTTTAAGAAGGTTCCGAAGCCGGCATAGACTCCTACATTAATTCCGTACGCCGCCAAATGCAAAACAAAGCCGTAATGCTTCAAACTATTTGTAAATTTATCCCAGAATGCTCTGAATGAAGTTTTTCTAAGTTTTCTTTCGTCGAATTGGGCTATGCTCGGTGGTAGAGGCGGCTGGGCAGGAAAATCTAAAGAAAATAGGAATAAACCCTATTCTATACATGAATTATTAAGTAATTACTATTTTAATAAGAATAAGCCATAAATAAAGTTTAAAATAAATTTATTGACGTTTCGATTTCCGGAAATCTTTCAACTTCGGAAATCGTTCTCAACCTACAAACATTATAAATTAAACAAATTTTGTTTTTTGTTACTTGGTAAAAAATTCTTCTAATAATTTAATTTTATCTGACTCATTTTTATTGACAATTCAAAAATTTCAAATAAATTTCAAAGTAGACGACTTTAAAATAATATTGCCAATATTGCTGAGTTGCATTCCTGGGACGACTTTATTGTAAGATAGTTCATTCGATTACATGAAATCAACTTTAACTTGAGAATATTCCTCAGAAAAAGTCATAACATATGATTCGTCTTTAAAAAGACAGCCACACACCATGATGACAGTGAAATTCTCCTGTTAGTGATTCCATAGTAAATAATGACGGAAAAACAGGAAAAAAACCTTATAATACTATCAGGACATGGTAAGTATTTGGTCTTACATTGAGTTTACTCTCAATAAACACCAAATTCTGATTTTATTTGTATGTTATTTAAAAAACATAAATGATCTACCCTCGATATGTTACTTACTTACTTATAGTGATATAGCGGAATTTGGCGACACAATTGGTCTCATTTAGCATAATTAGAGCCGCTTCTTTTATTTTTTTTCTTTTTACCATCCGTTTCTTTTAGGACTATATTTAAATCATTCCATTAACCGCTATGTTCAGTTTCCTATAGGTGTTTACATGTTTGAGATTTATCAAATTTTTAATAAAAGATTCATGTTCACTTATTCTAACATTTAATGGCCATTATGTTTCACCTTCTTTTTTATTCATTGTAAGGTTTAGTTTTAAATAAAATAGATTTCAGTATACTTGTTGTTTTGAATTTTGTTGAAATGTTGAATTTTCTTTTTATCTTTTTAAGTTTTTTTAATAATCAGCAGAATGCACAATATTCCTTGTGTATGCTGTAGGATCTCGTTCTAAGTTATTTTGTTCTATTTGGTCGATTGTTGAAAATTCCGTATTTATAAAAGATAAAGGGTATTCATTTTTTAATAAAACAGATGTTAACAAAAGTTAACAACAGTTAACAATGTAGAGAACATTCGTCCTCTAAGAACGAATTTTCGTTAGAACAAGTAATTTTGGCTCTATCGTATAAGGATTTAATGATTTCCATTTTAATATCGATTTTGTGATTTAATATGCAATTTAAATATCTGTTGGTGTGTGTTGGTTTTCTACATCTGAGTCTCATATGATAAGAACAATACTGGATACAAAAAATTTTTTAACACTTTTTAAACCGATCCATATTATACAGGCTGTTTCGTTGAGAAAGTAACATACGTTAACTATAAAAAGGGATCTTAAAAACCCCACACGTAATGGGCCTTACTTCATCAATAACAAAGATACTGGGTGTTATCTATTTAGCCAACTTTCAATTAACAATTCACAATATTTTAACCGCACTGTATATTTTCTTTATATTTGGCACGCGAATATATTTTAAGGGGACAGTCTTATGCGGAACTTTCAAAAAATCAATTTTATTTTTTTTTATAAATCGCTTCCATTTACATTCACAAACTCCCTCCTAAAATTTTAAAAAGAAATTCTCACTAGAATATAAGTAGTTATTTTATTAACGTCGTCTACGTACGTATGAAAACCGGTTTCTATCCGCGCGGCGAGCGCGAGGCTCCAGCTGTTCTTGCTTTTGTATATATGTTGTATATACGTTGGGTATGTATTAGTGATTCATTTTTATATAGTATGTATATCAGTATAGCGTTTGGCAGTTTCTATACACATTTGGAATTTTAAATCCGGAACATAGGATTTTTTACAAATATTAAGATTCTCTGCGTTGCAATTAACCAGTGTAAATTTCTTTATAACTTCGCGATGTTTTATAACTAATTTATTTGTTCCACTGGATTACTTCTCCTCAGCGGTTTGTAGTAGCGTATATGGCACGCCGACAGTGTTGCTCCGTCTACCGATTTTTCCTGAAAGTCCGATTTGTGCAGATAATAAATAATGTTTTATTAACATCAATTTTGTTTGTGTGCATTAGGTATTATTTGAGTTATAAAATTTATACTTAAATACATTTATTATTGTTATTGTTTATTATTTCAAATTAAAAAGAGTGTAATATAATTATTTTATTTTTAAAATTCCTTTTTATTTTTAATTTTAGAAATCACTTTTTTTCAAGCCGTTTTAGGAATAAAACAACCATTTTTTTAGTTATAAAATATTTTCATATCTACATTTATAAATAAGTACGTTTTCGTTGAATTGACATGCGATCTAGGTGTGTTCCGTTTTACACTTACACTGGAAACATCGTGGCGTGAATTAAGAGTGAGACTCCAGTCAAAAAAATGAATTAATTATAAAACATCGCGACGTTGTATTGAAATTTACAGCTTTACAAAGCCATTTACAACAACTGTTGGATGAAGATGGTCCTCAATATTCACCAGGAATGGCCGATTAAACGTGAGTATAAAGTTATCAGCCTTTTATTCACGAAAATTATGTAAAAAAAAACTTTAAATGCTTTTTTCTCAAAAGTAACATTTTCAAACTGGTCAGACACTTTTCTCCGAACCTTTTTAACTGATTTTAAAAAACCAAAAATTTTTCGAATGTATATTTAAAATACTAGATGATAAACCTTTAAAATTATTTAAAAACTACCCCCTTTTATTATATATGGGTAAATCCAAAGAAAAATATAGTGATTTTTCGACTTTTTTGAAAAAATTCGTATAAACTCTTCAAAATAATACAATTTGCATATTTTAAAGGTTTATCATCTAGTTTTGAGTCTCATGAATCCAACCCATTTTGAATTTTTTGAATATAGGTGAACATAGGTGACCCAGAAAGTGTGTTACCACCAAAAACGCACTTTTTACTACACGCCATCTACAGGACACCAATGAAGTTAAAATCGCTATTAAAAATTTTTATTATGTACCTCAAGACTTACTTAATCATCTCCAAAAGGAATTATGTTAATAAATATTATAGTTTTTTTTTCTGCTTTAATTTTAAAATACGTCTTTTTTTTAATCGCATGAGACTGTCCCCTTAAGGGGTCCAATAGATTAATCTATTCAAATTTTTAAGACATTTCGTTCATTAAAGTTATGTAATTTTTTGAGGACTCTTATTATTATACAGTGTGTTATTTTTGGGTTGGAATATTTCTCTAATATTTTTTATTCTGGACCTGGATTTCCTATAATTATAAATAAATTACTCGATTGAACACAGATTAAAAATAGATAAAGCACTTAATAGCTTTGTTATTGATGAAGTAAGACTGATTAAGTGTGGGGTTTTTAAGATCGCTTAAGTGCCCAAACTGTGATGCTCTTGTTAATACCATGACTTTTATTTTGGCCTCGTTAATTATGATGCCAAAGTGATGTCCTGTGTTCACAATTTTATTCGGTAAATGTTAAAAAACGCCTTCATTTTATTTTCAAAACATCAGATGCCTACTTTAATAAGACAATTTTGGCAATACAAACATCCTACGAATAGTCGTATGGAGTTTCCTGAAAGTGTTTTTAGTAGAATATAATTTCCAACTGATAAAGGTCGTCGTTTGATTATTACTCATATTGAAGGAGATTAAGGAGTGGATTTGTGAATAGGTTTTAAAAAATCACTACATCACAAATTATAAACTATAAAAACGCACATATACTTACAAAATATTATAGCCACGCTAACTGGTATCATATAAATAGCTAAAAGCCAACACAGCTGTTGAAGTCCACTAGCGATCACACTGAGATCTTCAGAGTTCTTGACTAGACTTGGAGGAAGGACAAAACCAAGTGCAAAACCTAGTTGGGTACCAAATACAGCCAATGAACAAGCTAGCGATGCCTAAAAATGTGTTATGTTTGTAACTAAATACATCAGTATCAACAGAGGAGTTCGACAAGGATATGCGCTGCCGACACTTTTATTTATAATATATAATGCTGTCACTTAAACAGTGTCATGATTAAATATATCATATTAGAGTGGTATTTAAAAGAAAATTTATTTATTTATTAAAAGAAAAAAAATGTCTATAGCAGTCAGTGACTCCTTGACAAAAAAAATGTAAATTAAGCATTCTTTAAGAATTAATTAACTTGAATTTCACAGAGTAGATTACGAAAGAAAATACTATATTTCTTAAATATGTTACGAGGAAAAGCCAGTGAAAAAGTTCTTACCTCACTGGGGCTAAACCAAACCGCAGCAATTTTTGCAGGTAGACACATGACGAAGACCTGCGCCGTCGATCCAATTGCTTGGCCTAAAAGTACCAACCGAAATAAGTCTTGTCTGATAGAAAAAACTTTCACGACTGCAGCTAATGCAGTCCCTAGCCCACCAATCAAGGCTGTCACTCTTAATCCCTAAAAAATACAAAAAAAAATAATTAAAATAAGTGTTACAATAAATCTTTTTGTAATTGAGTGAAGTCCCAATTGTTTTGTGCCAATATTTTATTTGACCAAATTATTATCATTTGAACCAAATGATATCTTTTGATAATTATCAACAACAATATCACGTACAGCCAACACTTGCCCAACAAACCAACTTTTCTCATTCTACATCAAACTCTAAAGCTTTAACTTCAACTTAAAAAATAATACAGAAACTCTCTATCTTCCTCTTTTTTTCAACCATTTTCCATCCACTTCTGAATGTAGGTCTCTCCCAATTGTCTCTCTTCCATCTTTCTCTATCTTGCGCCAATCTAATCCACTGTTCGCCTACCACTGCTCTTATGTCATCTACCCATCTTTTTTGGGGTCTTCCCATACTTCTTGTTGTCGTTCTGTCTTATACAAAAACAGAGAATAAATATAATTCGATGTCAGATGAAGAATATGAAGACTTTCAAAATAATAAACACCAAACAATAAGATCAAAAAGAAAAGACTAAAACGATAAAATTAAAAAGAAGAAGAAGCTCCAATTTCACTCTAAAAAAGGTTTCAGCTACTTTCAAAGGAAAAGTTTGTAAATATTACGAATAAAAATACACCAATCTCGAAACCCCCTCCAATTTTTTAACTAACCCAAGCTGTAGAATTAGAAACTTCCGTTAAGTCCTTAACAACACTATCAAAATTTTACCAAAGACACCTGAATCCTACAGAAAACTAATACATCACGTAAGAGAGAAAAACATAGTCCACCATACATCCAACTTAAGGAAGAGAGGGCATATAGAATACAGAGCAGTAATTCGAGACCTACATCACTCCTTTCCGATAGATGAAATAAAAGTGGAAACTCTGAAAAAGGTGTTAATATACCATTCTATAAATTAGAATTTAATACGATCTTCAAAAAACCAAATATATATATATTATATATATATATATATATATATATATATATATATATATATATATATATATATATATATATCTTACGACGTTGTCCGACTCCCAAACGCCACTGTATTCTGTCTTGAGTTAGGTCTTCGTCCAGATTTCGAGCGCTAATCGCTTTCCTAACTCCCAGGTTTCAGCTCTGTGGTGGTCTTCCTCGTTTCCTTTTCTCTGGGGGTTGCCACATCATCGTTTTTTTAGGCAATCTTTCGTCCTCAATTCGGCTCACCTGCCCATACCATATGAGCTGTTTTCTCTCAATATCCTCAACTATAGTGCCCTCTATACCCATTTGTTGTTTTATCACTTCATTTCGTATTCTGACGGCTCTTGATATTCTCATCGATCTTCTGGTGGCATCAATTTCCGTGGCTTCGACCTTTTTCTTATATTTCTCGGTTATTCTCCATGTCTCAGCTCCATAAAGTAGGATAGTTTTAACCATTGTCTCATATTTGTTCCATTTTCTATTCTTTGATATTTCTTTACTCCATAGAACTCCGTTCAAACATTCTATTCGTGCTTGTACAATTCGATGTTCTATTTTTTCTTCGTCTTTTTCACTACGGTCGAAGATGACGCCCAGGTAATTATATTCGTCACATGGATTTATTTTTTGATTGTCATCGATATCGAGTTGTTCTGCTTCAGCTCCAATTGAGAGGTATTTTGTCTTTTCTAAATTGATATTAAATCCCCATTTATGGTATTCTTCAATTAGTTTTCTAAGCATGTATTCCATGTCGTCTTTGTCATTTGAGATCACCACCTGATCATCTGCAAACTGTAAAGTATATATGTAATCCTGATCGTTCAATTGTATACCCATTCCTTTAACTTTCCTTTTCCATTGTTTCAGACCAAATATTATATTTCCGAAATATTCAGATTTACATAAAATAAGTAACAAGTGGTTGAACTGCATATTGAGTGAATATACTAATAAAACTATAATTTACACAGATTGCTCTAAACTGAACGATGGGAAGGTATGGTCTGCAGTGTACATTCCTTCCAAAATTAAATCATTTAAAATAAAACTTCCTTCACATTGTTCTATTTACACTGTAGATGCCTTTGTTTTTTGGCTCTCTTGGAATTCCGAAGATATCTGACTATCTTTCACATAATAACAATCAACAAAACAATGAATGTAGTTACTAGTCCTGTGGTTAAATGAGGAATCCACTGATGATTGGCAATGGTTTTCCACGTGTGTTCGGATATGTTTTGGACCAGCTGCTCTGTCTCAAGTACTCTATTTGACAATTCATTCACCAGAATGTCTATATTATATCTGGGAATGTTGATCTATTTTATTATTGGCCTCTGCATAAGCTCTTCAATGGGGCTGACGAAAGTCTTTAAATAACTTTGATTTGCTGTTTCCAATTCATTACTGGATATGAGTAATGTTATGTTCCAGGTCTGCGCAACACATTTTGGTGACTAATACTTGCCAACCAATTCTCTAAATTATTGTAAATGACATTATCAACTAAAAGCATTTTTGGCTTGTCTTTGACAGTGCTTCAAATATTGAAAGTTTGCTATTAACCTTCTCAGCACAGTTGACCGTTTAAGTCAAAACTTTCATCCTATTTTAAATTTAAAACAAATTAGAAATAAAAAAACGTAGATATAAATATAAAATTAAACAATGGATTGAAAACAAAACAACAAAATTCTATAAAGAACTGATTAATGGATGATAGTAATAAATAATAAATATCTAAATAGACTTTGATTACCAAATACAACATTTCTTGAATTTACTGCAGTTAATATGATGTACTCACATTTGTTTAATCACATGTGTGTCATTATGTTAGATTAAAAAAATGTATTTTTGTAAGTGCGCATAATGTACCTAACTATTTATATTTATACATTTGTTAAATATTTTTTAATGTAGCTCTACTTCAGTGAGTTTTTATGTTTATTAAGTATTTAGTATACTTTTTGTTTCTTGTAATCTATATTGTAATGTAAGCTTTCTAAATAAACATTAATATTATTATTATCAATAATGCAAAATAGTCGAAAATTTGTCAAATATACTATACATACAATTCAAGACTTACCTGGGTATCAATAATATAGGAAGCTGGTACAACAATAAAAGGATATATGATCATATATATAATAGAGGTCCAATCTACGGCAGTCGTGCTTACTCTGTAAAATTTTACCACAATGTTAGTGATGATAGAGTACTCTATCCATTGGAAGGCGTTGGCGCAAGAATAGAGAACAAAAATGGCTAATATCACCCATCTTCTTTTATACACTTTAATAACGGGAGGTGGTGGATGTTTTTCGAATAAATCGTTGCTTTCTGCCGGTAGCATCGTTCCTGAAAATAAATTTATATTAAATAAACGTGCTTTTGACGATTTAATTGTTTATTAGTAAAAAATAGAAAGATGACAATAGAAATAGAAAGAAAAGGCAACTGAAGAAGATTTATTAATATTGTTTTATATTAAATCATGTATGCTATTCTCATTTCTCTTTAACCAACGCTTATGTATTTAACCGATTCCTACTTTAATTGAACATTTTGTTTTGTAATTGCTGCAATAAATTTATGATTTTATATTGGTGCTACATAAGCTATAAAAAAATGAATGTTTTTAAAAAGTTGGCTGCTACTCTAGTTGTCAAAAAAGAAATAAACGGTGTTTATTTCTTTTTTGTGTCCGTACATTACTTTATCGTGTCCGGACATTTTGGCCCAGTATCGGGCTACGTCGGTTCCATCTTTGTTGGCGAGCCACAAATCTTCAAGGGTACATCGATGAGGACAGTTTCTGCATGTAAGAAGATGTTCCATATAATGTGTTTCTCCACAGACACAGTTCACATCATCTTGGTTAGTGTTTTCCTATGTTTCCATGTTTGATTTTACTGGAGCGACCCCCGTTCTTATCCTATTCATAGTTTTCCATGTTTTAAAGTCTAGGGACTGGCCGGTCAATTGAACCTGGGGAAGAGGAAAATACTCAGGCGGTTCATCCTGCACTGTTCCAAGGAAGCTTTTGCTAGATTTTAGTCGCTTTCGTGGTGTTCGAGCTTGATATAGGGCATGCCACTCGTCCGCAATCTGTTTAATTTTCTCTATGTGCTCTGCAACGCCTCTGCGTGTTAAGGGTTTTGCATAACCCGCTGCTTTATATAGATTTGAAAGTGGCATTGGTTTCAAGCACACAGTTACTATCCTGCATGTCTCATTTAACGCAGTATCAACGTGTTTGGTGTGAGCAGATCTGCCCCAAACGGGGCACGCATATTCAGCAGTTAAGAAACAGAGGGCCTGTGCCGTTGCTCTTAAAACTCCAGGACGTGCGCCCCATTTACTTCCCGTTAGCTTTCTGAATATGCTGTTCCTAGTTGTTATTTTTCCTCTCGCTTTTATGCAATGTTGTGTATAGGTGAGGGACTGGTCCAGAGTTACTCCAAGATATATAGGTTGGTTTGTGTGTTCTAATGTATTACCATTCCACGCAATTTGGAGTTTTCGCTTGGCTTCCTTTGCGCCAAGGTGCAAAGCGCAGACTTGGGTTTTAGAGGAATTGGGTCTTAGGGAATTCTGCCGGTAGTACACTGTCATTGTTTTTAAAGCAGTTTGGAGTTTCTCCTCCACTTCTTCAAAACTATTTCCTTGAGCACATATTGCAAGATCGTCAGCATAGAGGAAGTGCTTGGTTTCGGTCGGCGTATGTTGGTCGTTTGTGTATATATTAATGAGCATTGGTGCTAAAACACTTCCTGTGAGAGGCCGTTTTTTAAACTCTTCACCTACTTACTTTACCCTTCAGAATAATGAAAAAACGTCTTCATCGAAAAAAAAATGAAAAAAAAAATCTACGAAAGCAGCGCACGTTATAAATTTTTCTTCAAAGTCCTCTTCAATGTGCTCTGTTAGTGCGAGAACTTGACCGGTGCAAGATTTGCCGGGTCTGACTCCTCCTTGTTGTGGGATAAGGTGCTTTTCTTTTCTGGCGAGCATGAGTCTCTCGTATAGTTTGAAAAAGTGACACAATAGCGAAATAGGTCTGTAGCTACTGGGGTTTTCTGGGTCCTTTCTTGGTTTTAACAAGGCAATTACTTTAGATTTCCTACAGGATTTTGGAATTTCGCAGGTTTAGCAGCATGCGTTATAAAATTACAAGATCCAGTTTTTTGCTCCTTGGCCTAGATGCTTTATTTGTTCACTGCATATATCATCCACACCTGCAGTTTTTCCGTTTTTTAACCTGTTTATGCCATCGTGGAGTTCTTTTAGTGTAAAATGAGTTTCTAGGTGGTTTGTCTCCAAATCCAATCTTCTCTTAGTGTTTGGGTCCTTATATCAGTTAGTAGTTCTTCCATTCATAAGGAGTTTAGCAGCGACTTGGTTTGCTGTGACCTTGCAAGGTGGTTTATGTTCTTTTGGATCATCGCTGAGTTTTTTTACAAGGTTCCATGCTATTTTGGTATGTGTCATGTCCATTTTTTCCAGGGCCTCAATCCACTTTTCCTGTCTGACTTGACTTAGCTGTTGGAGTAGTACTGCTCCGCACTCAAACCTTTCTTCTCTAAAAGGGTCAGTGGAATAGAGGGTTTAGTATGTTCTCATTAGTTCTTTGGACTCGCTAGACATCCCAGGAACATATTGTTGTCCACATCCTCTAGGGATAGCTTTTCTAGACACATTTTTAAGTAACTCTACAAATTTTTCGTAGTTCTCTACTTTTGGTTTAAGACGTAGCAGCTCAGAATACTAGCTCAGCTCAGCTAGCATGTCTGCATACTTTTGCCAGTTTGCCTTTTTGAAGTTAAATCTCCTTCTGAATGGAATAGCTTGTGGTCTGACAATTGGAAATATATTTATACCAATTGGTCTATGCTGAGTTTTTTGTATGAGGCCATATACTACTTTGGTACATCGGTCTTCGAGGTTGTTACTTAAAAAACAGATATCCCAGTTAAATCCTCTTTTCCAAACTTCTGATTGGGTTGCGATTGAAAGTTAGTTGGGAGTGAATATAAAAAAGGCTGGTTTGGGAGCTTGTATACCGAGGTTATTGTGCATTTTTCGATCTCAGTGGTTATTATGTCTATACCGTGTACATTTGTTGTTTCCACAGATGAGACTATGGTTTAAGTTCTCACAAATACCGCGCTTCCATGCTTATTGTGTGTTATCTCCGCAATCAGTTTCATACCAGAGACTTTCGGTATCGCTGCAGTTAGGTCTCTGTGGGTTTCCTGGATGCACAATACCTCACATTTCGTGTTCTTGCAGAATTCTTATAAGATGTCTTGTTTGGCTGTAGTGATGTCCTCGATATTTAGGCTCGCTACTGTCGTCAGTGTTGGCTCTGAGAAGAACCGTTGTGGCTTGAAGTTTGCCATCTGATTTGGTTTGGTCCGATGTTGGAAGGATTAGCAGTCTACTAGTAGAGGTTTCCAGGAGACACCGTCAATAGTGTTTACTTTGCAGTTGATGTGGTACTATTGATCTCGTAGAGGCTTCTTCCTTGTCCCCCAGAAATATTAACAATTAGACGGACGAGCATTAGTTGTGTTCATAGTTCGTGCTTGAATAATTGTGTTTTAAAATTCGTAAAATATTCCTAAAACTAACTATGCTCTTTATTATTTTAAGCCATACAGGGAGCTTTATATCGACTTTGACAAGGTTTTCCGTTTTAATTTAATTTTATTTTATCCCATTCAAATGTTTAGTTTTCTCTCGAAGATTCTTTGCTCCTTTCGTCTATTGGAGGACTGCCGGGGACTAAGGACCATTATTTTAAGTGTATTTGTCATAATATTTATACTAGGTAAATGTTATAAGGTGGTTTCCCTTTGAATTCCTCATCACAGTACCACAACCATACAAACTACTCCAGTCATACTTTTGGTAGTCTGGTTTCAAGCCGATTCAGGATCGTTTCTTTTACGCGTTGAGCTGATACTGATTATCGCAGCTACCTTTCACCACGATGAGATAGAAAATACGTTTTTAGAATTTAGAAGAAATGGAATTTAAAAAGGATAGGACTTGTAACAAATTGGGAGCAAAACATGGATCACGTGGGCAAGATCGCTCCTTGAAGTAAACTAATTTTTTACGGGATTCGTAAATAAGTGTCTAAAAAGGTGTTAAAAATGTAATAAAATGCTTAGTTACTAAAATTACGCCAAATATGAGAAATGTAATAATCATTATTTAAGATTTATGGTACAATAAACGAATTATACCTAATACTATTTAGATAAATCTACATGTGATAATTATTCTTAAAGTATCACATGCCAATTCTAAATTAAACAAAAGTTTCACAAATACGTAATTTAATTCAACAATTGAAGGATGATTATCAAAAAATAACTAAATTATGTTTAAATCAAGTTTCTTGTATATAATATGTATCTTTTTCACGCATTGTTTTGTAATCTGTATTGTTAAATCCGTGTCAATAATTATTTATAATTATTATATTTAAATAAGCAATTTTGCTTGTTCATTGCGAGTTGTTGTTTCTATGGAAAACTATAACTCTATACCTTGCGCGGTCGGCCGATATTTCTTTTTACTTCTCTTCTACTTATTGATTTGTCCCTAACTATTTTAACTACTCTTATGTCCGCTATTCTACTGATGTGATGGTTGGAAATTTTTATTCTTTAATGATATTACATTTTGGGCAACTGGTTTCGAGGCTTATATTATATGCCTCATCATCAGGACCCATAACGTGCTTCGTAGACACTTTGCAGTATGACCGGCATAGATCTATGTACATCTTGTGCATTTTGGAGCTCCGTATTGCCGGTTCTAAGCAGGTGGAACCACTTCTTCTTAGAGTGCCGTCTCCCGACTGAGGTTGGCAAACATAATGGCTATTTTTATTTTTGAACTTGCTGCTCTAAACAAATCAATCGATCTGCATTGATACCAATAACGTATATTCTTCAACAATGAGATCTGTCTTCGTGCAACAGATCTTCTTCCTTGATTCTTTCCCTATTTTATGAGTCTCAAAATTTCATATTTTAGTCCTCTCATCACGTGACCTAGGTATTCCAGTTTTCTGGTTTGTATAGTGATGATTAGTTCGGTTTCGTTACCAACCCTCTCCAGTACTTCTTTATTTGTAATTCTATCAGTCCATGATATTTTTAATACTTTACGGTATAACCAAAGTTCGAAAGCCTCGATTCTTTTTAAATTTCATTTTTTTAATGTCCAAGTCTGAGCTCCATATAATAATATTGAAAATATATAACAGCGAATGGTACGTAGTCTAATCTCCAAATTTAGATTTTTGCACGTTAGGAGTGGCTTAATTCGTATAAATGCTG